CCAGAAACACTCCAGCTGTGCATCCCTAAGGGACTTAATTTCCCAAGGAAGAGCTGGTGAAGCACTGGGACCAGTTTGAGAGTGAAACTGGAGACCCTCGTGCCCAGGGTGTGTTGAGTGGGTCCGGTGGGGCGAGGTAGGACCAGCTGAGCTGGAAGGTGGACAGGGATCACTTGGGGATCCCAGCTGGAGTCATGGGGGAGCAAAGGTTGTTCTCCTTGGAAGGGCCCACGTTGTCCCTGGCAGTGGAGCAGGATGGTGCCCGTGGCAGCTCTGAGAGTCGTGTTGTGTGCAGTGCCTTGCTCGTCCGATCTCATCCCAGTGTCCATTGGTATTCCCAAACCAGTGAAATGAGCTTGGATCTCTCCAGGGCCTTGGGATGCTGATCCATGAAGCTGCTCATGGGCTGGAAGCCTTGGCTTTGTGCTTGATTTTGTGCTGAAGGAGTTGTTTGATCAGGAGGAGGGTGTGGAAGGCGAGGGTGATGGAAAACCTTGGATCACAGGCAGCGTTGTCGTTCCTTTGGGATTGGTTCTGTGTCCTGGTCATTCCAGCATCTTGTCCTCCCGTCCCAGGAGGTGCTGGGTCCTCTCAAACCCAGAGGAATATTCTCACTGACAGGGAGAAAATCATGCCCAAGCAATTCCATACCCAGCGGAAGGTTCCGAGGAGTGGGATGTCCCTGTGCTCCCCATAAGCTGTCACCTGCAGCCCAAGGGAGGACAAAGAGCAAGGAGCAAATCCACGCTGTCCCCATCCCTCCTTAGCAAACATCCCCATGCTCTTGTTCCCGCTCTGGGGTGTTTTTTCCCTTTGCTCAGCACTGGCTGCCTTTCCGGTCCGGGATGCTGCCGGAGGATGAGGGGGGAAGTGGTTTTTTGGGAAGCTGGAGCTACAGCAGCGCTTTGTGTGCAGCTCCCCCCTGCCTCCAGTTGATCCTGGCAACAGCAAATGTAAAAATAGACGCCGGGTGCCTTCTCCCAAACGTGCCTTTTGGCAGCTGCTCCCTCAGAGTCTCCGTGGAAAGGAGTGGGAAGAGGGAGGGAAGGGATTCACTCCGAGTGTCTGCAGGCAGTTGGGATGTGCTGATTAACCAGGGTGACCTAAATGAGTGAGCACAGCCACGGGGTGGGGGCTGGGGAGGCTCACGATCCGTGTCCCAGCTTCCAAAGCCCCCTGGAGCAGCTCCTGCTTCCCGGGAGCTGCCCCGGAGCTCGCAGGGGCCTCCGGGTGCTTCCCCTTTCTGAGGAGTTCTCTCTTTGAGGTTTCCTCTCCCGGCCCCCTGTGATGGGGTGAGTTGCTGTTTCCTTCCCCCTCAGCCATCCCCGAGGCCTGGAGGGGCTCTCCAGCCCTTTCCTTGCCATAGAATCCATGGAGGACAGATCCTGGGATCCCCTATTTTGGGAGGATTCACCTCCAGCACAGACTGGGGGACCAAGCACATGTCCTTAGGGAGGAGCAATCCTACTCCCCATCACCACCAGCTCTGGCTCTGGGACAAGACAGCCAGTTTAATTTAACTTTAATCTAATTTTAGTTTAATTTTTCGAACTAGTAAAGCTCATATTTGGCTGTGCCCCCTCCAAACCTTGCTAAGAACCCTCAGAGCAGGTGGCTGGAGATGAGTGTCTTATCCAGGATGTCCTGTCCAGTGAGGAACTGGATCCAAGCTGGTGCCACCTTCCTCAGGAGAGGCCTCCAAAACACCCCCAAGGAGCAGATCCTTGTGGTCCCATATCCCTGGTGCTGGATGTGCTTGGCACAGCTTCCCTGTGCTCCTCCAGCACCTCTTCCAGAGTCTGATTAACATAACCCAGTTCTGCTATTTCAGGCCTGGAACGGGGGTTTTGTGGGCAGAACTGGTTTGTTTTTCCAGGTGTATCCTCTGTTCCCACAAAAGAGGTCGTGTCCGCCCTCAAAATGTGACCTTGGGTGGCCCCAATCCAGAAACCCCCACCCAGGGAAGAACTGTGGGAAACCAAGGGCTATGGGACGGGGTTAGTAGTGAAATTATGCCGTGGAATTGTGATTTTTGGCTGGGCTGGCACTTGCAGCCCTCCCTGAGGCCAGGCGGTGTTTGCACCTCCCATTTCCACTGGAACTGATTCATCAAACCCCAGAAATCCACGGTGTGGAACAACTTAATCCTCCCAAACACTCGTCTGGTGCCACAAACTTCGAGCTGAGCCTAAAAATAGCCCCAGTAGTGGCCTGTTGGAGGGGTAGTCCTGACTGTTTGCTGACTGTGGATCCAAAAATAGCTCCTTAATCCCACGCTGCCATAAGCAGGGGCTTTTCCTTGAGCAGATGCTTTTTTGGAGCAGGTCAGGCCGAGCCCCCCAAATTCCCTTTAATGCCCACAAGATTGGAAAGGATGGGGTGGGAGATGCTGTTCTATCTCATCATCCTCAGAAGGTCATGCCTTTCCTTGTGTTAATCCACCCAGATTCCTCCTATTTTATTTTTTTTTTCCATGAGATGACATAAGGTATAAAAACTACTTTCAGGAGGTTTTTCTTTTCTCTTTGTTTTTCCTGTGAAGTGATTCAGCCCCCAAATCTCTCCTTTCCCAGCTGCCAGGCTGCTCCAGCCCTTCCCTCTTGAACTTCTTCCAGCTCTTGAATTAAACTGAACAATATTGGACGTTCCAGGCAGCCTTTTCCCCTGCAATCCTACGGGAAGTGTCCTCCTGACTCACCTGCTCCTTCTCCCTGGCAGTGGATTGACCCATTCTGGTGTCTTTTTGCTTCTGCTGTTTTGCTTTTAAGGGGTTAATGCTGCTTTTTTTTTTTTTTTCTATGGATTTCTTTTTTTTCCCCTGCCTGCCTGGATATTTTCAAACTCAAAGCCTGGGTACTGAAAATTGTGCAGTGGGAATCCTGTGGGGTGGGGTAAGGGAGTGGTGGGAACAGGAATGGGTTCACTGGGGGTTTGGTTCTGTGTGTGTGTTCCCAGCAAAGTTGGCTCTGTCCTTCCTGCATTTTGAATTACTGGATGAAGGCCCTGGGTGCTTCCAGCTGTGCACTTGGAATATTTCTCAGGGAATTAGGAGGTTTGTGCCCCCATTCATAGAATGGTTTGGGTTGAAAGGGCCTTAAAACTCATCTTATTCCAACCCCCTGCCATGGGCAGAGACACCTTCCACTAGCCCAGGTTGCTCCAAACCCCATCCAACCTGTTCTTGGACTATTCCAGGGATTGGTGTAGCCTTCCCAGCTCCTCCCTTCATCCAGGATGTGATAACTTCCCTGGCAGGAATTCAGAAACTTCTGGAGAACACAATTATACCTCTCTCCTTGCCCTGGTGATTCCAGCCTGGTCACACCCACTTCCATCCCAGCACATTTTCCTTCCCTGTTTTTTTTTTTCTTCTCACTGATTTTGCTCTCCAGGTGGATGCAAACCACCACTGGGATATTTATTTTCTGGGAAATTGTTAACCCAGGTCCAGAAATGTCTCCCAGCTCCTACTGTTGTGCCTTTCACCCAGGAAGGATGACATGGAGAAATAGGGCCTGTCCTGAACCTACAGATTTCCTTGGGCCTTGTTAAGGGGGATTTTAATCATAAATTCCTCTTTTAGTACTTTGATCTGGGAGGGAGCAGAGGTACCAGGGCAGTGGCTGTGCTGGAGACCTGCTCATCCTGCTGCAGCTGCCCTGGGAAGCAGCACCTGGAATGGGGGCAGAAAGGTGGAGCATCCTGTGGGAGAAGGGAGTGAAGGACCACTGGGTTGGCAGCGATTTCTGGGAAGAAACTGTTCCCTCATGGCCTGTGTTTGGTGCTGCCCCATCTGAACATGGAAATGGAGAACCAGAAGGTGGCTCTGGGCACGTCTTGCTGTGGTGTCCTCTCTCCCACCTCTCATTCCCACTGGCAGGAAGCAAGGCCCCCCTCCCAGAGGTTGCTCCATGCCCTTCCCGTGGAGAGATTGGGACCTAACAGGAGGTTGGGATTATTTTTACGTTATGCAGTGGATGGTTTGGAGGCTTCTCCCATGTTCCTGCCATGCAAAGCTCTGGAGCACAGTCTGTGTTATGGGTTTTGTGTGGGGCAGGACAGCGGGAAACATCCCTGGGATCCCGCTGTGGAGTCAGTGGGAGCCTCTGAGCTGGTGGACATGGCCACTGCCTCCTTCTGGAGCTCTCACCAGGCAGGAGAATTCCATCAGCCAGCTGTGGGAATGCAGATACTTCCCAAAAATGAGTAACCTGGGTAGGGTTGGGTTGGGTTGGTGCTTCACAGAAGGTTCTCCTTCCCACAAAGAACTCCCGGGATCTGCCATCCTCGAAGCCCTTGCTGCGAGGACACTTTGAGTCAAACCTGAGCAGCTTTATTTCGGGTGAGGCACAGAAGGCCTGGCAGAAGAGTTATTTTTAATGGATGTTGTTGGGAGCCTTTGCCATTCCGGGTCTGTCTGTGCCTGGAAGGATTTGTTGAGTCACCGGCTCTGGAATATTTAAACCACGAGCACCGAGCGCCGTCGTCTTTGTTTGCTTTCAAACCTGAGCTCCCAGCAAGCTGACAAGTGACCCTACAAAAATTAGGCCACTGGTACCTGACACCAAGGTGGCGTTTTCCAGGTTATTTAGTGGAAGGGCAGTGTTTTTAGGATGAGGACAGGGATGGAGACAGAGCTCTTACAGTGCCATGGTGGTTGAGGGGTTTCTCTGGCTCGGGTTTTGGGTGATACCTGGGACTCTTAGAACAGAATCATTAAGGTTGGGAAAGCCCTCCAAGATCGTGGAGTCCAACCTGTGATTGATTCCCACCTTGTCCCCCAGCCCAGAGCACCGAGTGCCACGTCCAGTCCTTCCTTGGACACCTCCAGGAATGGGGACTCCACCACCTCCCTTCCAATGTTTAACAACCATTTCCAGGAAGAAACCCATGCTGGATAGCACTGGTGCCTTCTCCCACCCCAGCAGCATCCTCTCCAAAGTTTTCTTGGCTTGGAAATGACAGAGGCACCTTTCCTTTTCTTTCCTCTCTGGCTCCAGGTGGCACAAGCTGCACTCCAAGGCCGGGAAGAAGGAGAAGGAGCGGGGTGAGATCCTGGTGAGCATCCAGTTCACGCGGAACAACCTCACGGCCAGCATGTTCGACCTGTCCATGAAGGATAAACCGCGGTCCCCCTTCGGGAAGCTGAAGGACAAGGTGACAGGCAAGAAGAAATATGACCTGGAGTCGGCCTCTGCCATCATCCCCAGCAGCCTGGGCGCCCTGGACGTGGAGGATGACTATGAATTGGGGGGCAAGAAGGCCAAAGTCAAGGGCTTCTTCCTGAAGAACAAGCTGCGCAAGTCGTCCCTGACGCAATCCAACACTTCCCTGGGATCCGACAGCACCATCTCCTCTGCCAGCCTGAGCTTGGCAGCAAATGTTCCTGAGGTAACCAAATCCCCGAGCAGACACAGCAGTCTGTCCATGGAGCGCTCTGGTAAGAGGATCATGGATAATCCCTCCCCCTTTTTCTTTCCCCCTCTTTTTTTTTTTTTCCTTTGTAAAGGGCTGTTGAGACTTTCTTGTAAATCTGTTAACTAATTACTGACCTAGTCATAGAATCGTAGGAACATGGAATTATTTGGGTTGGAAAAGCCCTCTGAGGCCATCGAATCCAACCGTTCCCCCAGCACTGCCAAGGCCACCACTGACCCCTGTCCCCAAGTGCCACATCCACAGGGATTTTAAATCCCTCCAAGGATGGAGATCCACCACTACCCTGGGCAGCTGTGCCAGGGATGGACACCCATGACAAAATTTTCCCAATATCCAACCTGAGCCTCCCCTGGCACAGCTGGAGGCCGTTCCCTCTCCTCCTGTCCCTGTTCCCTGGGAGCAGAGCCTGATCCCTCCCCAGCTCCCCCCTCCTGTCAGGGAGTTGCAGAGCCAGAAGGTCCCCCATGAGCCTCCTTTTCTCCAGGCTGAGAATCAACATCCTGCAAAACCCCTCTGACATCTTCTGCCTTCTGCATTGTTGCTTGGCAGAACGGGGGAGAAACATCCAAGACTTTGCTTTTCCGCTCCTGGCTCCCGTCGATGCTCCCGGGACACGAGGGTTCCTCGGGGCTGTCTCTTCTCGCCCCTCAAAGCAGGTCACTGCCACTGGAAGGCCCCAGGGGAGGGCTGGGGGAAGCTGCTGCTGCCCTGCCCTGGGTCACTGGTCTAACGAGCCGCCTCCGGCTTGGAGGCCGAGCCGGAGCAGTGCCCAGTTCCCGGTGATTAAAACAATCCGAGCTCCTGGCGCTCGGAGAGCGGCGATTTACAAACAAAACAGGCCCTTGTAGGGAGTTAATTCTCGCCGTCCCTTGAAAACGGAAGGTGTAATTAGATGATTTAATTGGCTGGACACAGCCCATTCCTGGGTTGGGGTGGGAGTCCCCGGGGGCGTTTCTGCTGGATGACGTTCCCACGTGTCGTGTCCGTGGCTGGAGAGCAAGTCGAGACACCACTCTGATCCCATCGTCCTTGTGATGAACCTTCCATCTCATGCCAGCTCCCGTGGCAGGGACTTGGAATTAGATAATCTGTAAGGTCTTTTCCAACCCAAACCATTCCATGATTCTATGAAGGACACATCTCCAGCCAGGAGGGGAGAGCAGCTGGGTGTCACCTCAATCCAGGCAATCCCTGTCTCCGGGTTCTCCACGATTTTTAACCCCAAAAGTCTGCAGAATCCACAAGGTCATAGAGTCATGGAACTGTTAAGGTTGGAAAAGATCTTTAAGATCCTTAAGTCCAGCCCTCGAGGCAGTGGGAGGGAGATGAAGGCACTGGATTCTCCTGGCTTGTCACACCTGGCTGGTCAGAGCAGAACTCACGGCCTTGTCATCTCCCATTCCTGCAAACTCCAGAGTCACACAGAAGAACTAAACCCTCTAAGGAGCTTCTGGGGAGTCTCTTGCATTTATTATCCATCTCAGATCCTCTCAGATCCTCTCAGACAAGGGGTTTATCCTGTTACAGAGTCTCCTCTCCAGGCCCTACAGTGGGAGCTGATGTGCTCGGGGAGAATAGTGTGTATCCTGCATCCCCACTCAGTTGTGTCCCGGGCTTTGCATTTCAAGTTTAATTGTAATCCCGTGGAGCCCGGGAGCTGCGATGATTTCGAGGCTGTCTCGAGTGTTTGCAGGCAGGAGACAGCGCTGCTTGTCACACCCTCACCCCTGTTTCATGTTCAATCTCCCCCCTCAGTGAAAGACTATTTGCCGTCTCCCACGCTGACCCACAAGAGAGCCTTCAGCGACGACGTCTCCCAGGTCAGCCCGGTGCCGGAGCCCAGAGCGACCCAAAGCCCGAAGCCAAAGAACGACCCCGCGTCCCGTTCCTCCCTCTGCATCAACGGGAGCCACGTTTACGGCGACGAGCCCGCCCCGAGGAGCCCCGCGCCGGTGCCGCCGGGCTCTGCCCCGCTGCCCGTGCCCAGGAGGCAGGAGGAGGGGTTGGGCTTCGCCCCGCTCCATCCCGACCCCCACGAGGCGCCCTGGGGGGCGGGCGGCTTCGAGAGGTCTCAGCAGAGGGATGAGCCGAGGTTCATCCCGTCCCCTCCCAGCTTAGCCCTGCAGGAAGAGCTCAAGGTCTCCACCAAGGCCGTCACGCTCAGCAACCACCTGGGCAGAGCCCGGATGGAGGAGAGCGGCCGCCTGGAGAACAGGCCGGCTCAAGCCGTGCCTCCCACGGGCTCCTCCTCGGAGGCAGCGAAGGACCAACAGCCTGAGGAGGCCAGGAAGGAAGAGAAGAAACCAAAGGCGGCTTCTTCCACCACGGGGGCAGCCGGAGCGAGGCGGGCAGCAAAGGCCAGGGGGAGAAAGTGGGACCCTCCGGCCACGCCACGGCAGCGGGAGACGAGAGGAGCAAGAGCAGCGGCTGGTTTGGTTCAAAGGAGCCCAAAGATTCCCCTCAGAAACCCAGGTCAGTGGAAGGGGGGGGTGAGGAGATATCCAGGCTGTTGATTCCTGCCCCAAATCCCTGTTTTCAAAGGCTGGTGAACGCTCCTGGGATCAGCGGAGCACTGGCCCTGATGCTCAGGCAAGGTCACTGCAGGGAAAAAGCTTCCTTGGTCTTGGATGTCTCAAAGGGAAGGGGATTCTTCCTGGATTCTCTCCTGGCTTCTGCCACAGACCAACTCTGTTTATCCTCGTGGGGTGTGTTTTCCACCTGGGAGGGACGGAGGGATCCCCTTCATGGAGAGGTTTCCCTCTGCAGGGTGAGGCTCGGTGTGGTCACACCAAGGGCTTCTGTGGCCTTGAAATAAAGGATCATTATCCTTTAATTAGCTAAAAAAGCTCCCCTGGGAGTCAGTGCGGGAGGTGGGATATCATGACACACAGTCACATTATTTTTATTAACCTCCTGATAGCTTGAGATATTATTAATAGTCCCAAAGTAACTAATCCCAACCCTGCTCTTTCCTCTGCCCATCCCACCCAGCCTTCCCTTCTTCCAATTACGAATCTCTCTAACTCTTCTCGCTCTGTGTGATGATTCATCCCTCCAGATCCTCAGCCTTGTCTTTGTGGCACACAGAGGGTGATGTTTGTGCTGTTTCTGTGAGGAATTTATCACTTGTGTCCATCCCTGGAGCCCCCAGGAGCTGAGCTGGGAGTCCTGAAGTTTTTTTTCTCCCTGAGGGAGAGGGAGGAAATGAGTTAAAAACAGCCAGAAAAAAAACCAAACAAAACCAGGAGTCGAGAGCTGATTGGATCTACAAGGTTGATTTATTAGAGGGGTTTTCTAATCTGGGCTGACTTTAACCTAATTTATTGAGCAGGAGGATTTGAATTCAGTCTAAGCCTCCTTTAATGAGGAGGCCACTGGTGGTTTGTTCAACCTAAACAGGCTCCCACATGGGTTAAACCTTTTAAAGGGATGAGCACATCCCTCAGCGTGGCTTCAGGACAGGGGCAACTCCCTAAATTCATTCCCGCTCTCCTCACCCCACACAAAGTGTGCTTGTAGAGCCTGGGCAGAGCTGGGGAAACTGAGGCAGGTGGGAGCTGCTTCCCTGGGTCAGGAATATCCCATCTTGCAGGCCTGAGGCTCTTTCCCCCCAAAAATCTGTCATGGGAGAGAGAAGGTTGGCACAATGGGATGGGAAGGACCAGGCAGGTGTGGGAGCTCCATCCTCCAGACACGTGGGAGATGCTTGGACTGCCATGCCTGCATTCCTATGGATGGGTTTTTCATTCCTCATCCCTGGAAGTGTCCAAGGCCAGGTTGGACAGGGCTTGGAGCGATGTGGGATAGTGGGAAGTGTCCCTGATTGGAACAACATGATCTTTATGGTCCCTTCCAACCCAAACCATCCTGTGATTCCATGATTTCCTGGGAGACTTGAAACCCTGGTAGGGATTTGGTGCCAGTGCAAGATTTGTGGCTGAGCCTGAAGGACACTGGTCTGTGAATCGTGTCACTGAGGAAGGACAGACTATTCCTGCTCAGGATTGTTCTTCAAATTTTTCCGTCTCATTTGGGGATAATAAACCTGCTCTTTAAGTCCTAGAATAAAAAATCAAACCCTAATAATCCTGCTGTATCCAGGCAGTGACTCCACAAGCTGCCTGAGCCAGCCAGCAAAGCACTGTGAGCATGGGATGGGATGGGAGAGGATGGGATGGAAGGGGATGGGAGCTGCCCTCTGCAACTCCCTCCGGAGCCTTTTCCTTGGAAAATGGGTGAGAAACCAGTGTGTTTCCTCCTGCTGGGAAGCTCTGGGAAGGAGGCAGGTAGGGCTGTGTGTTCCAGCCTGATGCAGCAGCTGTGCCTGCCCCGCTGCCCTGATGGACACAGCCGATTCCAAGGCAGGGATGTCTCGATTCCAGCTGGAATTTGGCTCCCGGAGCATCCAACCCAGTGGATAATCACAGAGGTGCCCTTAAACTCTGCTGGTTTCTAACAACTCCCCGCCTTTCCTCAAATGCTGGACACATTCCCACTGTTCCTCCTTTCCCAGAGGGTTTTCACTCCGTGTTTTATTTTTATTTTTTTTTAAAATCCACTTCAGTGCTCTCACAGTTTTAATTTCAAGCTCAGCCGAGGCCGAGCTTTGCCGGGAGTCGCTTTGCCGAGGGATCCCGGCTGCCTTAAGAGGAAAAAACCTGGATGAGCCGTGTGTGGCAGCAGCTCCTCGGGCTGGGATTCTCTCTCCCAAAAATAGGAGCGGCTTCGAAGCGGCACGGGATGGAGGGAACGAATTCACAGGAGCCCCTTTTTGGGGCGTCCGGGGACATCTGAGCGGGTTTTAACTGCGGTTTGCGGTTGAAAGTGGGAAATGATGAGCCTAAACTGGAGCAGGGGGGGATTTAAAGTGGATGTTGGGAGGAGTGTCTTAAGGGAGGATGGGGAAGCGCTGGAGCTGCCTGGCTGGGAAGGGGGTTTCTCCCTCCCAGCATCCAGGGATTTGGGAGTGGGGGAGATGAGAAGCTTTGGGAAGTGTTACAAGGTGGCACGTGGTGGCAGACGGTGCCTGAGTGTGACCTGATGCAAAAGTGGCCTTTCCATCATCCCAGGGAGATGATGTGTCTCCGTCCTGGTGCTTCATTTTTCCTGGCCATTAATTACGAGGTTGTTACTTCTTCTAATTACACAGAACTCTGGTTTTATTCTCCTTCCTCACGCGGAGGGACCTCGTGGACCTCGACTCTGAGTCACCTCAAAGCTGTCAAAGAGCTTATTAGGTCTTGGTGGCTTCACACAGAGAGAGGGCAGGGTTAGATGGGATATTGGGAAGGAATTCCTGGCTGTGAGGGTGGGGAGGCCCTGGCCCAGGCTGGGCAGAGAAGGTGTGGCTGCCCCTGGATCCCTGGAAGTGTCCAAGGCCAGGTTGGAGCAAGCTGGGCTAGTGGAAGGTGTCCCTGCCCATGGCAGGGGTGGAACTGGATGGTCTTTAAGGTCCTTCCAACCCAAACCATTCCATGATTCTGTGATCTGTGGGGGTTCTGTGGATGTCCATCTGCAGCTGGAGGAGCTGTTCAGGTACCAGTGTAACCTGTAGGGCTGAAGATGGATTAACCTTTGCTCTGGAGAGTGCCAGCCTCTGAACGAAGCAGTTTGAAGCCTTTGACTTTGACCTGCAGAAAGGACTTTTTCCCTCCTGCTCTGCTGATTCTGGAAATTCAACCTTGTGGCTCCTGTCAGCAGCATCTCCTCACCTTTGTGCTCCCCATGGAGAGGTCGAGTTTCCCCTGGAGCCGAGCGTGGCGTGAGAGCATCAAAATCAGACCCCAAACCTCAACCTGTAATTAGTTAAAAAGGTCTGTAATTAGAGGGATGGTTCCAGCTGAGGTTTAAACTCGCCTGCAGCTAAGACCAGCTCGGCACAGCTCGCCTTTAAACGCCTGCTCTTGCAAAACACACCCTTGCTAAAATAAGGAGCTGCTGACTTCGGGCTGGGTTCAACTTCAGCTTCATAAGAAGGTTTTTTTGTTCTCTTTTGGGTGGTTTTTGCTGAGCCATCAGCACGTGAGCTGGAGCAGCAAACCTGTCTGGGGAAGAACCAGACTTTTCAGCCTTCAGCCCCTTATTTACACATGTTTTTATCTTGATTCTTGACAGGGGGAGCAGCTCCCTGGCTTTGCTAATCCACGTGAGCTCCCGGGCTTTGATGCTGGGTTGAATGGGAGCTGTAGGAAGATGGTGTTTGCCCTTTGGAGGCTGAATAAAAGACTGTTTGGGGTTTGTTGTTTTTAAGGTTGGGTGGTCAAGGGTTTTGTGTGTGAGGAAGAAGCTCAGCAGGTTTATTTGAGGCAAAGCCTGGGGCTAAAACAATCGGTTGGAGTGTTTTTCGGGCTGGCCTACAATGTTATCAGAGCTCTGCAGGTCCTGCTTCCTGTGGTGTGAATCCCCATGATAAAATGGGGCTGCATCTTGGCAGTAGGAAAAGAGAGAAACTGTGCTCTGGCTTCTAAAAATAGCTGCATTAGTTCCATTTTCAGGCTAAAACCCCTTCCCTCTTTGCTTCTTTCATGTGGGGAAGATGTAAAATCCCTCCCCACCTCCTCTGTCACTCCCCTTCCCAGAGTCCATCCCCTTGGATCCAGCAGTGACTCAAATTCCTCACTGTTTCTCAATGTACTCCTAAAAAATACATTTCCTAGGTGCTGGAAATGGGAGGAAGGTTTGGAGTGGTTGGAACAGGACAGGCTGGCAGTGTTGGACCGGGTGGGATTAAACGTGGATGTGTGGGAGCAGCTCCCTCCAAAGCACCATTAACAGGGAATTTCAGAGCAGAACCTGAGAAGCTGCAGAGTTTGATGAAGAGGAAGATGAAGGCCATGATGTGAGAACCAGCATGTCGTGGATAACAGTGGATGAATCCATGTGGGAGCCATCAGGATCACACCTCTGGCACAGGTCTTGCATCCAGAGGAGCCTGCATGGGATCAGTCATAGGGATGGAGCTGGGATCAGTGTGAGGAGCCTGGAAATGGCTCTTAAAATGCTTCTACCTCCCTTTTTCCTGCTGAGCCTGCATTTCCTGGGGATGGACACGGAGCAGGATGGTGAGTCGGATCCAGAGCTGGCACCAGCTCAGCCCTGATGACACAAATCTGCTTTGTAGCTGTCCAGGTAAAGCACAGCCCAACTCCTGAAAGTGGGATTTGGGGTTGGAAATTTGCATCTGGGGCTCCTGCTACCCAGGATTTCTTTTAATTGTTTTTTATTCCTGTGGTTTTGGGATCAAATGCTTATAAAGGAGGATTTGTCCATTTTAATCAGGATGATGGACAGGTGAGGCCCAAGGGGAAAGTAAAGTGGTTATTGCACAGATAATTGTTATAGATTATTTATTATGGGTAAATCCAGTTCTTTCACTCCCAGAATCCCTATTTAAAAGCAGCATTTGCTTATTTTTCCTGACTCATTCCCTCTTGGGTTCCCACCCTGCAGGAAAATGTCCTGGGCTGCCATACCCATCTCTTCCCAACCCCCTTTCTGCACCAATCTTGCTCCTGCCGGTGGGAAGAAATTCCTGCTCCCTGCCAGGCTTTGAAGCTGCTGCAGGAGCCTCCAGCACCCCAATTTTCCACCCAAAAATACAGAAAAAGGGAGCAAAAAGCAGGTTGTGAGCGGGAGGGTCACAGCGCATCCCTGGACCCAGCCCTCCTAGGAGGGATTTTCCACTCGAGCTCCAGCACAGCTCTTCCCCTCGGCATCTCATGGGTGGATTTATCCCTGCCCTCCCCAAACTCCGGCTTTTCCAGCGCATGTGCCGTTTTATCTCCCCGGTGCAGAGTCACCCACCCTGCTGCAGATGGGCTGGGGCTGGTGCTCTGTCACTGCAGAGCTGGGGCGCTGCCCTGAGCCTGAAATCCAGGCTGGGATCCACAGGGAAAAATCTCCCTGCATTGAACAAGCTGTTTCCAATAGACTTTCTTTTTTTTTTTTTTTTTTTTTCCCCATCAGGAGGTTGCTCAGCAATATTTTATTCCTTTTCTTTTTTTTTTCCCCCTATTGCTGAGAGGCTAAAACACGTCTGGGAAGTGCTGCCAAACAAATAAACGAGGGCAGAAAGGTACCCGCTATTTATTTTGGCTGGCAGAGCCTTGTGCTGGGAATGGGAGGAGGAGGAGAAGGAAGGAGGAGGAGGAGGAGGGTGAGTCAGCGTTTCAGTGCTGCAAAGAGCTTCCACCAGGCTGCTGCAAGCGGAGGTTTCCCTCTAGAGGAATCCGCCGTCCTCCGCTCCTCCTTTCCCCGAGCACTTCCAGCATCAGGCAGAACGGGAAAAGGGGCTTTTTGGGGGATGGATTGTTCGTGGGGAGAGAGGTTTTCTGCCAGTTCCAGGCTGGTCACCGAAACAGAGGTGTTTGTGCCAAGGAAAGGGGTTGAAGGGTGATGGTGCAGTTTGAAAACTCTGGGGAAAGTCACAGATTCTGAGGAAACGGCCTCGAGGTGCACCAGAGGAGGTTCAGGTTGGATACTGGGGAAAATTCCTTCGTGGAAAGGGCTGTCCAGCCCTGGCACAGCTGCCCAGGGCAGTGTTGGAGTCCCCATCCCTGGAGGGATTTAAAATCCCTGTGGATGTGGCACCTGGGGACAGGGATCAGTGGTGGCCTTGGCAGTGCTGGGGGAATGGTTGGACTGGATGATCCTTAGGGGCTTTTCCAACCTAAAGAATTCCATGATTCTTCTGCCTGGAGTTTGCAGCTGAGAGGGGCTTGTGCAGCCCCTGAGCAAACCCTGGTGGGTCCCAGCAGGAATGGGGACAGGAAAAATCCCATTTGTGGATGTTGGGAGCTCACCCAGGACAGAAAGGAAAATTCCATAGGGGGTTTTAGAGCAGGAAAACTGGAATCTGACAAAAAAAAAAAGATGGATTTAAATTCTGTCTTTATATATTTAGCCATTGTCAGCAAGTCCAGCAGCCCATGAGCCTCATCATGACTTTACAAGGGCCTGGAGTGACAGGGATAGCTTCCCACTGCCAGAGAGCAGGATTAGATGGGATATTGGGAAGGAATTGTTGGCTGTGAGGGTGGGGAGGCCCTGGCACAGGTTGCCCACAGAAGCTATGGCTGCCCCTGGATCCCTGGAAGTGTCCAAGGCCAGGTTGGAGCAACCTGGGCTAGTGGAAGGTGTCCCTGGCCATGGGCAGGGGGGTTGGAACTGGATGATCTTTAATCTCTCTTCCAACTCCAACCATTCCATGATTCTGTGATGACCCAGGGAATGAAGACAGGATCATCTTGGGTGGGTCTGAGGAGACCTCGAGGCTGTTCCTCCACCTGTGGAGGTGCAGTCTGGGGCGAGGGGCTGCTCTGGCATCAACCAGCCCCTGAGGAAGGAGCTTCACCCACTCAGCCTGCTGGCAGCTCTGAAGGTCGTTAGCGGGGAGTGCTCATTAAGGAGCCTGCAGCTGATTAATACTCTGGAGCCCAGCAGAGCTGGATCAGGCCTTGGATGCTCTTACTCAGCACTAAGGGATGTTTAGGCAGAGTCACAAATCATGGATCTTCATCTGGGCCAAACCACGAAAGGCAGTGCCAGCAAGGAGCAGGGCAAGCAGAGGGAGGGCACCACCCTGACACCGTGGTGGTCCAGCTTGGACTTTGCCACCTTCCCTTTCCAGCTGGAAAGGAAAAATGTGCCAGGTTTTGCCCTGTTAAAACCCGTTTGTGGATGTTGTGAGCTCCCTTGGGTCGTGAGCAGCTGTGCTTAGGGAAAAAGGTGCAACCACACGGCGATTCCCGGGTTGGGAATGCTGGGAGATGTTGGCTTCCAAGCAGAGACTAGGCTCCTGGTCTCTCTGGGGTGGTTTGTGCCTAAGGGTCAATCAGCTTCTCCCATCACTTCTCCTGGAGATCTGTGCACACCTGTGAAGAGCTGGGCTGCCCACGGTGGTTCCTCCATCCTGGTCCGAGCAGGAGAGGACACGGAGACTCCTCGGAGCTGTCTGGGGACCGGGATGGGCACGGCCACCACTGCTTAGTGACAGCAGGAGAGGGCACCCACGAGCTGTCTCTGCCCACAAGTGAGCTGCAGGTTTGAGTAGAAATTAAGAGTTTGAGACTTTTTGTGTCCCTGGATTCCTGATTCTGCTCAGTGGTGTCCGGTGGGTGCCGGACCTGAGCTGGTCGCTCCTGGCTGCTTCCTGTCCATGTTTTCCCTACCTAAAAACTGGGATAAGGGGATTTTGGTGCCATTGATGGCATAAATAAGCACCTTTCCAAGGGTGATGCATGAGGGGGGGGCCTGTGAAGTTGCCAGGAGTGGGGAGAAGTGGGGCCACGTGGTTGGGGCATCCCATGTGGTCTGAGGGGCACCACCAGCACGTCGCCCTTCCTGCTTCAAAACCAGCTGGCTGCACCATCCCACAGCGTCAACTTTTGCCTCAAGATGGCATTTTTGTGCTTTAAAACATGTCCAAGGCGTCTTGTGCATCCACAGTGATGGGAAAAGAGTTGCCCAAGCAGCTTATTTTTTTGCTTGATTTTGTGTTTGACCGTGATCTTCTGGTGATTCCTGCCATCCCTTCCAGCAGCTCAGGAGGGAAATCCCAAGATGTGACCCCAGGGCTGGACAGACCCTGTGGGATGTTGGCAGAGCAGTTGATTTATTGATTCCTTGTTAAACTTTGATATGCCCAGTGCTGGCTGATCCATGTCCGTGCTCCTCCCAAAGCAAAAGTGGGAGCTCTGAAACTTGTGGCCATAATCCCGATGGATCAGTTCTGGTGCTGAGTGCCCCTATCCTGGAGATGGGAATGCTCCTTCCAAGGGTGAGTCGAGGGGATGGGGGCTCAGGAGGAGGGGGAGTGGCAGTTGGAGCACCAGTTGGGGTGTGGAGTGTTCACACCACACACTTTGGGATGTGAAAACCATTGAGCCTGGTGAGGCTTCCTTGGGGGTGGTGATGCACATTGCTGGAGTTGTTCCCAAAGGAAGATCAATGAAATCCCAAAGAAAGGTCAGTGTAGTCCCTCTTGAAAAGGCAGCAAAGAACTGGCCTCCTCCAGGGGACTGACAGTCTGAATTCAGGATATGCTGAATCCCTTCCTCCTCCCATGGGTTCCCCATGGGGTTCCAGGCATCTTGGGATCTGAGGCCAGAAGTGACATGACAAAGGCCATGTGGGAGGCTGGGCAGAGTCCAGAATGGAGCCAAGGTCCCATCCTGCTCCTTCCTGCCTGGCTCTTGTTCCTTGGCCACCTGGAGCTGTGCTCCCCCCCATCCTGTGCAAGGGGGAGCTCCGTGTCTGCTGCCATCCTGGTGATGCTGGAAAACAAGTCATGAGGGACTGGGGTAAGCTGGGAAAGACTCCTGTGTGCCTTTACTGGTTCAAGTAATCCCGACCCAGGAGCCCAGCCTGGCTCCTCATGCACAACCCGCCCTTGGCTGGGGCACCAACGTCGGGACCAAAATCTGAGCCGAGTCCTTGGGCTGCAGGAGGTGGGAAAAACCTCTCAGGCTCCTGAGCTTGCTGAGGCAGAGAGGGGAATGTGGAGGACTGTCCTAGGAGAAGGGCTGCCCTTTCCTTTGTGTCGTGCATGCCCTTTCCACGCCTTGACTCCATAATCATTGCCCTGCCTAACAAGAGCCGAGAATGTGTTTGGTCATTGCACTGCTTGGACCGAAGCGTTTGTGGTGTGTGTGGTGTGTGCTCACAGCTCTGTCACGGCATTAACCAGGAGGACTGTTTTGTCTTCCCTCCACAGCCTGGAAGTGTCTCCTCAGGTAGAAACCAGCTCAGATGCTCCTTCTCATTTTCCTCCCTGCTCCCCTGCCCCGTTTCCTCCTGCCCATCTCGCTCGCATGCCAAGCTCTAACCTCCCTCCCGCTACTGGAGACAGCCAGGCCGGATGCTTGTGCCCCACCAACCCATTCCTCAACTCCCTGCAGAGCAATCCCTTCTTTGAGGACCTCCTCGCTGACCAGGTACTAAATTCTCCTTCACCTACTCACTTTTTCTCTAGTTTCCCGTGTGGGCCGCATGCTTCACCAGAGGTCGCTGGGAGCTTTTATTCCTCTGAGGATTGCAGTCCCTCTGCCTCCCTAAGGCACACAGACCCAGAGGGGGAGTCTCCAGCCAAAAGCATTGGTGTCCCCGTTCCTGAAACCACTCCCCCATCACAAGGAGACCTTCCTCCTCCGGACACCGAACCCGCCGTCCCTCCGCCGCTCTCGGAGTGGGACGACACCTTCGATGCCTTTGCCACCAGCAGGCTCAAGCCAGAAGGGAAGAAGGAAAACTTCTTTGCTTCCCTGGCAGCAGAGGGCATGGCTTTCATCGACGACGCCGATGCCGCCAGCCCGACGGAGAGAGCGGCCAAGCCAGCCCACGAGAAGGGGGCGCAAGGATTTGAAAAGGCCGATTCCCAGATCGGCGGCGAAATGCCCGCGGCTCTTCGGTCTTGGACAAATTTCTCCAGTTTAGATGTGGGGGCCAACTTGGTGAGCACAACCCAGGAGGCCACGGTGATAGAGGACGTGCTGAGCCCCGTGTCTGCGGGGTCCGTGGGGAGGAGGAGGAAGAGCAGCACGCCCATGGTTTGGACAGCCGCGTTTGCGTCGGGGAACGCCGCGGAAAAAGAGGCTTCGACAGCTGGAAGTAACACTAGGGAGGGAGGGGACAGCGATGAGGAGGAATCCTCTAGTGCAGGGACAAATGGCTGGATGACCATCGCCACGGAAACTGCTCCTGAGCCCTCGGAGAGCACCCAAAGCGTGGCCGAGGAGCGCGTGGGTCAGGACAGCGTGTTCAGACCCGCCTTCCTCGGCGACGGCGCCTTCGAGCCGGCAGCGCGTCCCGCGCCGCCGCCCGCGTGTTGCCCAGGACCCCCTTCCCCCCCGAGCTGGGCCCCGAAACCCTGCCAGGCAGCAACGTGGTGGCTGTGCCCCCACGGGTGGCAGCACGGCCGCTCCCTGCCCCTCCCGAGCCGGGGACGGAGCCCCAGGGAGCCGGGAATGAGGAGGGCGCCTTCGACATCCGGACGTCGGTGTACCGGCTCCAGGCCAGCATGAGGCTGGAGGCCAGTGAAAGCCTCGTAAAGCTCAGCTCTGACATCCGTGAGAGGCACGTCGTCCTCTCCCCATGGACGGGGACCCAAGAGCGGGAGGAGATCGTGGCCGGCTCGGCGGTGCCGCCCCCAAAACCTCCCCGGTGGTTCGCAGCTGCTGGTGTTGGAGGGGACGGGGAGGAGGAGGAGGCTCCTGGCCCACAGCGAGGCAAGGAGGAGCGAGGGGAAGACACAGAGCACCCAAAAGCAGATGTGGAGTTGCCAAGGAGCCATGTGAGCAGCGAGCCCTGCTGTCCCAGCATCTCCCAGCCCGCCTGCCCTGGGAGTGGACATCACCGAAGCCAGGAGGGAGTTTCTGATCTCCAAGGATGCTGAATCTGGGGACTCAACAGTGAGAGCCAGCGAGCTGGGAAAAGGGGATACCTCTCTGGCGGAAGAGGCATCGGAGATGAACGAGACGGATGCGGCTGAGCAGTTCGAGACGTGCGCATCCAAGTTCTCCCTGGACAGATTAGGCCAGTCGGGTGCTGAGCAAAGCTGGAGCTTGTCCCCTCAGATGGGGCCCACAGACAGTGCCAAGTGGGAGATGGCCTCCAAACAGGAGCCATTCCCCGAGGAGCTCAGCATTTCAGGACTAAACCCACCTTCCACGCTAGACCTGGGCCAGCCAGAAATGTTCTGGACGGCTCTGGAAGAGCAGGAGGCAGCTGCTCATCCCGCTGCTCTCAGCCCAAGGTTAGCACGCAGGGAGAGCTCATCCCGGCCGGAGCCGGCATGGGATGATGGTGAGGGGCGAGAGGGACAACAGCCTGAGCCTTGTGCCCCCACAGCAGTGGCCAGCCCTCCTGAGGAGGCAGAGCAGGGCAGACCCCCCCGCAGCGAGCCCGAGGGGCCGTGGCACTCGGCAGAGCGCAGGATAGACTTCAAGAAGGCGGATTTCTGGAAGCCAGACAGGGCGGAGGAGAGGCACGAGCAGGGAGCTCCATCCCCGAAAAACCCCTTTACTCTGGCCCTCAGCCCGAACTCCCCAGGCAACCCCTTTGTGGAGACACCCCCAGACCCCCTCCCTGCTCAAGCCGCGCTGCCCGAAAAGCTTGACCGGGGCCCCTCGAGCTTCGCCGGCCTCCACGAGGAAGCCTCGTTCCTGCCCACTAACCCCGCCGGGCACCCGCTCGCGCAGCCTCCCTCCCCGCATGCCAGCCAGCCCTTGGCCTCCTCCACCCCTTTCCTCGTGGCTGCCACTAACCCCCAGCAGTTTGGTTTCCCCTGCCCTGCCGTGTTTCCCGCCAGCAGCGGGGTCCCCGCCGCCTCCAGCCGCGCAGCCGCCCAGCCCTGCCCTTGGCCGCAGCCCGGGGACACACAGGCTTCAGCGCTCGTGGTTTTGCCCAGGGAGACACAGCCAGCTGAGAAGCCCCTTTTGCAGCAGACGACCAGGTGAGCACTCCGGGGAAGGCGAAGGGTGTGTTGTTTTTGGGAGAGGTGAGCCCTTGACTCCCGTCCCGCTCTTATCAGGGGGACGACGAGAGGACCCCGGCGCGGCGCCGGCAGCTCCGTGTGGTGCTGCAGGTCCTCCTCCCTCGGCTTCCCGTGCTCCCAGGGAGTCCAGCCTGAACTGCTTGAAGCCTTGGCTTTCTGGGATCACGGATTGGCCACTGGTGTCCTGTGTTTTCCCTAAGGAGGGCAAAATGGTTGGAGGCATCCACGACCCCCCCCACCCCCAGCTGAAAATTCAGCCGCTGCACCCGCATCTCCCTCAGTGCTAATTTTGGCTCCATCATCTTCCCCGTGCTTGCAGAAATAAATGCCTTTCTCCATGTCTGCCAGGAGAGCTCCCGGCAGTTCCCTCATGGCATGTGCACAGCTGCTGCCCCTTCCCTTTCCATTCGTTCAGCTTTGGTTTCTTGCCTTTGGAATGCCCAGCAGGTACTAAAAAAACCCTTCTTCTCTCCATAGCCCAAAAAAAAAAAAAAAAGAGTGTGGTTTCACCAGGACCAAATTCTCCCCTCCCTCCTGCTGAGATGCCCATTGGTTATGAGGCAAGTGGGATTTAGCCTTGAGGATAACAGGGATGGGAATGGGGGAACTGTGGTGGAAAGAAGGGGATGTTCCTCCTCCCAGGCCAGTTGTGGGCTTGTAGCTGTGAAGTAAAGATGGTGAGTTTTGGGCATGGAGCCTTGCTCTGTGTCCTTCAGTTCATCAAGTTTTCCTGGTACTCCCTCCCCTGCTCTGCCTGGGCAGGAGAAGGTTGTCCTGGGCTCTGTCTGCCCACAGGATCAAGCTGTGACAGTGATTTATTCAGCTCTAGCAGGGATTTTCTTGATCAGCCTTGCTGATCATGAGGCACAAGGAGCTTCACGGGGGAACTGAAATGGTAAAATCCCACCTGGCCCAAGAACAATGTTGGTCACAGCCCTGGGGAGAGAAAGGGCAGGAGGCTGGGCCAGCAGAACTCAGCTGAGCTCCAGCCCTTCATCATGGGATCCTTCCTTGGCTTGAGTGCAGGTTTGAGGAGCAAAATGATCTCAGGAGCGAGAGCTGGGGCTGTTGGATATTTTTTCTTCTTATTTAGGCCAGATCCTCAAATCACTTTTAATTGGATTATTCATCCTGCAGCAGATAACCTGGTTCAAAATTTGCAGGGATGGGATACAGAAACCTCCTGAACCTTGCCATGTTTCATGGAAAGAGAAGTGTCCTGCAGTGCCAAAGGGTAAAATGAGGCAGTGCTGAGCTCATGGTCATCTACAAGCTTGGTTGTGCATCCATCCAAGGCCTGGCTGGCTCGTGGGATGGCAATGGGCTTGGACCTGAGGGCTGGTCATCCTATCAGTGCTGGTTTCTGTCGTGACACACGGCTGAGAAGTCCTGGAACTTCTCTGCTCTGGTTCCTTTACTGTGTTTTGAATACCTGCTGCTGTGATTGAAGAGCCTTTGAAGGGCTTCCAGGTGTCTCTGGAGAGATTTGAGGTTCTGCAGTGCTCTGTAAGATTGGGGAGAAGTGATAATTGTCACGGGGTGAAGAGGGGAAAGCTGGAAGGGACCTTTTCCAGGTCCTCATGGCCAGGCTTCCCTTTCCCAGAATCTCATCTCCTGTTAGGATGGCACATGGACAAGAAAAGGTATGGGAGAAAAAAAAGTTGGAAGGAAAAACCTTCAACCTTAGAGCAGGCATTAAGACTTGGCTTTAGGGACACTTTTTGGGACAAAAGTGTCTTTTTGTTCCATCAGGTGGAGGAGGAGTTGGTGCCTGGTGTGGGGTCCCATGTCCCCTTCCCAAGTGGCCAGAGGGCTCTGCTGGTCACCTTGTGTGGCCACTGGGGTAAGGGGGGTGCTGGAGCATCAGCTGTGACACTGAGGTGTGGGGAGGGTCCTTGTCTCTTTAAGAAGGGTGGGATGGTGCCTTCACTGCTGGGAAGGGGACTTTGGTCACATCCCTGGGACAGGTGGGACCTCAGGGACAGGCTGTGACTGTCCTTTAGGGACTCCACTGCCTTGGGGGAGTCCAGCAGTTGTGCAGCTCCACAGCAGATTGATTCCCTGGGATTTGCCCTTTCTTGTCTTGTTCCCTGTGAGAAGCATTTTAATGGGATGATAAAGACTTAATTTCAGAGGAATTTTTGTCACTGTGCTCAGCAGTGACCTCGGGAGTGTCGGTGAAGCTGTGACACAGCAAGGCTGGCTCAGAGAGAGGGGGGACAGGGCTGGGCCACTGTCACCCTGAGAGGTTTCACCCTGACCTGTTGAGCTCCACCTTGGACTTGGGTCCACTCAGTGAGAGGAATTAGTTCTCTCCAGTTCCCGTTCAACAACCAGCAGATGGAAACGGGTCCAGCTTCTTGGAGGATCCATCAGAACTTCAGAGCTGGCTGTGGGGTGGGAAACAGCCTCTGCTCCCCTGGAAGGACCTGCTGCCAACCATCCTGGGGCAGGTGCAGGGGGAGGAATGCCTCCAGCTTTTGGATCCCCTCAGGGTGACAAATGAAGGGGGCAAAGCCCTGCACACACCACCCCCCGAGCAGGAAAGAATGGGATTGGGATTTATGTTTAAAAAACCTTTTCCAGCTCTGCAGAAATGACCATTCCCACTGGCCATGGGCCTGTGGCCAGACTTGCAGTGGGGAATGTCCCCCTGCTTTCAGAATGCATCCAGACTATCCCACTGGCATCCCCAGGGCTGGATTCCGTTCTCGTAGAGTTATGCCAGTTTGGTCCCAAGGTTTGGACACGCTGTGGTGTCTCTGCCCTGGCTGTGGGGATGCACCAGGTGATGGTGATATTTGGGGCTGTTTATCTTCAGGTCTGTGATAAGGAGTCCTGGTGGCTCCCCCCACGTTCTCCTCACAGCTGCTGGACCGTCTGTAGTGTGGTGGTTACAGCTCTGCTGGTGCAGAGGTTTGGTCCCCAGTGGGGAGCTCTTGAGGCACCTCCTCCAAGCCCTGACACTCAGTGGGCTCCCAGTGAGGTCCATGGGAGCCCTCTTCATCTTTCAAGCTGCCCAGGAACCCTGGGCTCTGTCCACATGCTTGGACAGCTCTGACAAGAGATCATAGAATCCCAGAGTATCCTGAGCTGGAAGGGACCCACCAGGACCATCCAGTCCAACCCCTGACCCTGCCCAGGACACCCCAACAATCCCACCCTGTCTCTCAGAGCATTGTCCAAACCCTCCTGGAGCTCTGGCAGCCTTGGGGCTGTGCCCACTGCCCTGGGGAGCCTGGGCAGTGCCAACCACCCTCTGGGGGAAGAACCTTCTGCTGAGATCCACCCTGAGCCTGCCCTGGCACAGCTCCAGCCATTCCCTGGGGGCTGTCCCTGCTCCAGCCATTCCCTGGGTGCTGTCCCTGCCACCCAGAGGGAAGAGATCAGTGCTGCCCCTCCACTTCCCCTCATTAAGGAAGCTGATCCCTTGGCTTGTTGGATCTACCAGTGGCTACCAGTGCTGTCCTCTCCTAACACATGGATGGCAGGAGGCATCAGGGTGGTTGGAGAGAACTTCCAGACCATCAGCACGACGGGGAGACAGTCTGGGACATCCTGATCCCCCCACCATGAGCAAGGCACGAGGACACCAGCCCCGTTTGGACACACAGCAGTTGGGATTGTCACCCTTTGCAGGGTGGCTGCTGCCCCCTCTGAGAGCAGAGGCTTTGCAGAGTTCCTGGGTAGATGTTTGGATCTTTCCATCCCAGGGATGGTGCTCAGGTGTGCCTGTTCCTTGCAGGAAGGCAGAATCAGGTCACTTCTCTTTCCATCCTGCTGAAAAGCAAACAGACTTTGTTTAAACCCAGAAAAAAAAAAACCTTTTGGGTGAAAAGTGAGGGAAAAATAAATGAGAATGATAATTCCCCCTCAGCTGACTCCTCACTCTCCCTTTTGGCCTAGTGGAGGGGGACGAATTCTGTGGTGGCTTCCAGGCAGGTGGAGCCCAACTCTTGGGCTGGAGCATCGCTGAAGCATCAGTGGTGACCCCCCCACTCTAATTTTGGGGGCTCCTGGACAACAAAATGCCCTTCTGGGCAGCCTCTGATCACACTGGACCTGGGTTTGATCTCCTGGGCCCCAGCACCCGGCAGCCTGTGGGAGTTTGGAGCCACAGCATTCCCAGTGTGGAGTGAGCCCAGTGTGGACACAGGGCCTGTTGTGTCTCAGCCAAACACGTGTCCTGGGGCTCCTTTTCTCCTCTCTGGGTGGAAATGGCTCCGTGGGCCGCCTGCTCCACAAGGTACCAGTTCTCCTCGCTCTCCTCGGAGCAGGAGAGCTTTGGGCAGTGCAGACACACAGGATTTAGGTGTTGTCTCGAGCTTCTAAGCAGTTTCCATCCCTGTAAAATCCCCAGGGAGAGGCAGCAGTGCCTCTCCCCAGCTCGGGAGGGTGTTATAACTGCCCGACCTTGCTGTCCCCAGTCCCCACCCGGTGAAGCCCATCAGCGCCGCCGTGCAGGAGGTCTCTGCTGAGAAGAAGCAGCAGCACAGGTCCAGCCTGACCTCAGCCCTGAGCAATGGCCTGGAGAAGCTGAGGACAGTCACCACGAGCAGCGTCCAGCCCGTGGCCCCGACCTCCCACCCGGAGAAAACGGACCCCAAGAAGTTAAAGGTAGGAACCCACCTGAGAGGTGAGAGCTGCACTCACACCTCATCCAGGTGTTCCACAGGGGCAAAGAACTGGTGTTGGAGGAGGTTAGAACAGGGTCCTGCCACGGGGTGAGTATTAATCCTGGGTCCTGGTTGCTCAGGATGGGTGTCAGACTCCCACCAGCCTCCCTTCCTCCCTGGCCTGGTGTCTGGACCTTCTCACCCCGTCCGTTGTTCTCCCATTGCTTGCTTTGGTTTGGGGGTTTTTACTGTGCAGTGTGTGAGTGAATCCCTGGTTGTAGAACCATGGGATGGGTTGGGTTGGAATGGACTTAAAAGACCATCTTGTTCCAACCCCCTGCAGTGGGCAGGGACACCTCCCCCTAGACCAGGACAACGCTGCTGCACCCTTTGTGGTGCCACAGGTAGTTCAGGGCGTGGGTTATGAGCACCTCAGCTTTTCTGGGGTGAGGTCTGGGTGGGTCCTGCTTCCCTGCTTTCCAGATTTGGAAAGAAGGCAGACACAAAAATAGGATTTTGTCTGGTTGTCGCTGCACCCTACAAACCTTAAAGGGAGCAGGGGGTTTAATTTGATTCACTGGATGTTCCTCTTGGTTTCTACCACAGGATCCCACCGTGCTGGACCAGTCAGCCAAGTATTACCACTTGACCCACGACGAGCTCATCCAGCTGCTGCTGCAGAGGGAGATGGAGCTGAGCAAGAAGGAGGAGCACATCCACGAACTGGAGAACTACATCGACCGGCTGCTGGTTCGCATCATGGAACAGTCTCCCACCCTCCTGCAGATCCCCCTGGGGGAAGGCAGCACCAAGTAACCTCTGCCCAGAGACCAGCAGCACTCGCCTAGAGCACTTCTCCAGTAACCACGCTGCAAACATCCCTGCACTCCCCCCCCTTCCTCTTCCCAGAGGGCTCCAGTGGCTTCTGTTCGCAGAGTTTAGCAGGGAAGGCTTGTCTGCTCCTTCCCAGCCCAAGCTTCTCCCAGCTCTGGCTCCAGGGAACTGTAGGGTGAGTGATGGGCAGTCATGCACCCTATGGGGAGGAGCAGAGCCCTCCACATGAGGCAGATGCCTCCTTAGGTTCCTGTCCTTGTGACCAAGTGCCATCTTCTCGGGCGCTCACCCTGCCAGTGCTTTAAGTGGCCCATGGACATCTGAGAGCTGGAAAACCACCTCGCCCACGACACTTCATCCTGCTGCTGCTGCTCTTCTGCCCACACTCTTCCTCACCTGTCTTCTGAAGCGGTGTCCCCTGACTGGAGGATGATGTTGAACTGGTGGAGGACAGCGGGGATGTTCAGACATCTACCAGCAGGTTGGTGACTGCAGAGCGGGGCTGTTGTTGGATGCCTCCTGCCCTTCCTGCCCCATTCACCCCCCAGATTGAAGGGTCTGTGTCTGAAGAGCCAGCTCCAGTTTGTGCCAGTTCCTGACCGCTGGGAGATGCTACACAAAGGGACAGCAGTGGAGTTGGAGGCCACAAAGGACTTGATCCAGTGTCACTGCCTGAGCATGAGCTGTGTTGGCTCCTTCACTCCGTGGGTGCAGAGCGGTGATGCTGCCTCAGTTCCTCCAAACTCAACTTGCAACATGGAAAAGTGATGGTTTGTGCACCATGAGAGCTCCTTGCTCCCCACCCAACCCATCCCCAGCCTGGCTGTGCCTCAGGGGGACGGACTCCTTTGTGTATAAACCACAGCTCAGTTTTCTACTCAGTATTCCATGGGAATTGCTCTCCATGGCTGCCCCCATCATTGGCTCAGTGTTGTCTTTCCCAACCCAACAGGAAAATGCCATTGGACCAAAGTTCATGGATGTCTGACCAGCTGGCCACCTCTGCATGACATCCTGTGGGATCAGGCTCCCACCAGACACTCCCTGTCACAGCTCACAATCCAGGAATCCTGGCAGATCCACTTCCAGCCAGTGTTAGTGCCGAGCACTGCTGGATCACATCCACGTGCCACTGCTGGATCTCTTGGGCCCAGCTCTGCTGGGAGCTGAGTGCTCCCAGCTGCTGACCATGGAGGGACCATCCAAAGGGCTCTGATTTATGTGGTTTAATGAGAATCCAGCACAGATTTGGCATTGGAATTGCTGTGGAGGGGGATGGAAAGGATGTGGCTGCATCTCTCATCCTGCCAGGGTTTTGTCTAGAGAAGTGGTGGAGGGTTGGTTGGTGTGGGATTTGAGCTGTCTTGACATGTAAGGCATCTTCCTCTTCTCTGTCTCCCAAAGTTACTGGATTCTTTTAAAACCTCCATACTCTTCTCTCCTTTCTTCCATGTATGCCATGACTTTGAAAAACTGTGCCTTTTGCCATAGGACAGTAGCAGTTTCCCACCCAGTTCTCTGAAATCCAGTTCTCATTTCCACACAGCCCATCTGGGGCAGGTTTCTCTTCTGTTTTCCTGCTCACCCGAAAAAGTGAGTTTATTTTTACATGCAGAGCCTTCCCACCCCTGTGTGCAGGTACTTTGGGTCCTTGGCAGGAATTCTGCACAGGAAGCTCATGGGACGTGGGAGGCAGAGAGATTAGGAGATGACACAGGGAGGCAAGAGCAGGCCAAATATTCCAAGACAAAATTCAGCTGGGTAAAGACAGTATTGGGTCAGGAGAGAGGGAGGTTTGGTCCTGTCTGGTTAAACCATCATATGAGGGGGAGGATTTGTTACCTGGGAAGGTACCAGCCATGAACTTCCAATTCCTGCCTGCCTTGGCCCCTCACATGGAATAATCTGAGGGTTTGCACTTCTCTACCTGTCCGTCCTGTCTTTGTGTTCCTCCTCCCTTTGTGTTTCTGGGATAAGACCTGAGGCTCAGAAGGAAAATGTTTCTCCCCTTTTAGAAAGTCCCAGAAATATCTCTGTGCCTCAGATCCAATGGCCTGAGCACCCCATTCCCTTTCTGAGAGCCCCCAGAAGCTCTTCCTTTGAGGTGAAGGCGGGCAGGGAGGGGTTGTGGGCAGCTGGAATTCAGCCCAGCCTTGGAAAAGCAGCACGGCACGGGAATGAGGGCCAGGAGAAGGGGCAGGTGTAGCTCAAGTGGGCATTAATAAGGGGGAGGAGTAGAGCCAAAATCTCCCAGGAGAATCCCACACTGGCTCCCCACTCCCTAAAAACACATCTGCTTCCTCGGAGCTCTCCCCCGGCAGCGCTGGCTCTGGAGGTGCTCCCCACACACGAGTGCCAGCGTTTCTAAGGATCTCTCTCGCTGCACCTCCTCCCTGCCTTCTCCCCTCCTCTTCCATCGTGTCTCACCACCCTCCCTCGGCCCCCACTGCCTTAGTCAGCTCTGCCTTTTAGCCAAAGCTTGAATGTTTTGCACTCCAATATCTGATGTTGCTCTCAGAGCTCAGCCGGGCGTGCAAGAGGTGCTTCCTCATCTCCTGCCTTTAGAGCAACAGGAGCTTCCTCAATAGGAGCTTCCTCATCTGCCTTTCCAGCAACAGGAGCTTCCCCATCTCCTGCCTTTCCAGCAACAGGAGCTTCCCCATCTCCTGCCTTTCCAGCAATACCTGCCCCTTCCATCTCCTGCCTTTCGTGCAAGAGGTGCTTCCTTGTCTCCTGCCCTTCCAGCAACAGGAGCTTTCTCATCTCCTGCTTTTAGAGCAATAGGAGCTTCCCCATCTCCTGCCTTTCCAGCAATAGGTGCTTCCTCATTTGCCTTTCCAGCAAGTAGGTGCTTCCTCACCTCCTGCCTTTGCAGCAATACCTGCCCCTTCCATCTCCTGCCTTTCCAGCAATTCTCAATTTTCCAGGTGCTTTCTCAACTCCTGCCTTTCCAGCAAGAGGTGCTTCCTCATCTCTTGCCTTTCCAGCAATAAGTGCTTCCTCAACTCCTGCCTTTCCAGCAATACCTGCTCCCTCACCTCCTGCTTTCCCAGCAATAGGAGCTTCCCTGTCTCCTGCCTTTCCAGCAATACCTGCTCCCTCCATCTCCTGCCTTTCCAGCAATTCTCAGTTTTCCAGGTACTTTCTCAGCTCCTGTGTTTCCAGCAATAGGTGCTTCCTCATCTCCTGCCTTTCCAGCAATACCTGTTCCCTCCATCATCTGCCTCTCCAGCAATAAGTGCTTCCCCATCTCCTGCCTTTCCAGCAATAAATGCTCCCTCCATCCCCTGCCTTCCCAGCACTCCCTGCTCCCTCCCATCTCCACAGGCCAAGGCAGGGTCTGGCACAGGTACCTTGGCGTGGGGTGTGAGGCAGGAGCTGCAAGAAGGAACAAGCAGTGATGGGTGTTTCGTGTCTGTCCTCCAGTGTTTGGAAGTCCTGAGGTATTTACAAATTGACTTGTGTTTAGGAAAAGGCACCTTAGAGGTGCTCCTGTCTCTGTTCTCTGTTTCTCCACCCCCCTGTCCTGAAAATGTGGGGCTTTTCCCACCACCCCCCCCAGACTGATTCTGTCCATCAGAGCAGCAGCTTGGCTACACCACAGCACTGAAACCAGAGTCTGTTTGATTTGTTGTTAGAAGTTCCCAGAGGGAAATGGTTTTGAGGACCTTGTGGAGGGAAGGGATGAGGAAAAGAATTGGTGTGTGTGGGGGAAAATGTTCTCAAGTTGCCCATGTTCTGTCTGGGGTTTATCTTCGTAGTTAGTGATCTAAATCTCCGTTTTCTCACGATTTATTTGCCTGCCCAGGGGCAGGAGCAGAATTCCTGCTCCTTGTTGGAGCCACACCGAGCTCTGTTCCTCTCTGCTGAACCCAGCAGCCCGCAAGGTTTCGCTGGGCCAGCAGCAGCTTTTCCCTGGCTCCAGTTTAAACACAGCCATGAGGATCCCTCTGTGGCTTTGCCTTTCTCCTGGACTTTGTTTTTCCAGGCCGTTCCACGTGGTTCCAGCAGGGTGCTGTTGCTCTGCTTTTCCTTTTCAGCCCAGGGTCCCGTTTCTTCCTTCTCAAGAACTTCGGCCGAGCGATTTTATTTTTCTCCTTGGCTGCTCCTTCTGGTCACAGGGTGGGCCAGAAGAACCACCGGGGTTTATCCTTTAAAACTGGAACAAACCTGAAGAGATGTGGATTCCCAAGCGTAGACTCAGCCTTACGACTCGTCCGTGAAGAGACCGCCGCGTGTTTCGTGTTTTGTGGGGTGGCAAAACATCCCAAAGCGGGAAAAGAAGCACCAGGGGGGGTTTGGAGTTGTTGATTTCCCTGTACTTCACGTACCAAGGAAGTGGGTTCTGTGCGTTTCATGTTTTAATAGTTGCAACTAATGTTTATAAAGAGCTTGTTATTTACGTTTTAAGCACTTTAAAGGAGGAAAAAAAAAAAAATAAAAGTTGTTCAAGCTGTTCCTAGATACTTCTGATTTATTGACAACAGCGTCTGTGCTGATGGCACTTGGACAGTGAGTGACATTTCTCTGTTTATTTTCTGAAGGAGGATGACGGCGTCCAACTCCTCCAGCAGCTTTTCCAGCTCCTTAACAGTCCCCAAGCCCTGGAAACCTCGAGTTCCTCCCCCAGATACCGATCCTGCCTCAGGTGATGGGAGCACCTGAGGGGGTTTAAGAGTCTCTCAGGTGTCTTGGGTGGGTCTTAAAGTCGTGTTTTGTGCTGAGTGACCGTGGAGCTCGGCTGGGGTGGCCGGGGGGGATTGGAGCTGGCAGGAGGTGGAGCCAGGTGGGATCGGGCTCTGCTCCCAGGGAACAAGGGACAGGAGGAGAGGGAACGGCCTCAAGTTGCTGCAGGGGAGGTTCAGGTTGGATATTGGGGAAAATTTCTTCATGGAGAGGGTTGTAAAACTTTGGAACAGGCTGCACAGGGCAGGGGTGGAGTCCCCATGCCTGGAGGGATTTCAAAGCCCTGTGGATGTGGCACCTGGGGACGTTGGTGAGTGGTGACCTGGGCAGTGCTGGGTTAAGGGTTGGACTTTCTGATCTCAGAGGGCTTTTCCAACCTAAATTCCATGATTCTGTCCACCTGCAGCTCCCTTGCTGCTCATGCTGGCTCTGCCCCTGCATTCCTGAGGATCTGTAGGAAATCAGCAACTGAGTAGAGGAGAGGGACCCCAGGGCAGTGTCTTGGAGGGAGAGAGGAAAGGAGAGCTCCTGTCACATCCCAGACATCAGAGAGATCAGCCTCGGGATGCCTGGTGGGAAAACCTGGCTCCCTCCATGCTGCTGCTCCTGGGAAAAGGCAGTTCTGGGATGACGATCCTCCTTCTCCTCTGTGCTGATCCACTCCCCAGACCTTCTCCTGCAGACCCTCAGCCCCAAATCCCTCCCACCTTTCCCCACTCAGCCGTTTTCCTTCTTTCTCCGGTCGTGCCTTTTCCTTCTCAAAAATTAACTCCCCTTAAGCTCCTGTAAATGACTTTGCTGCTGCAACAGAAGAGTTTCCTTAGCTCTAATCCCGGTTTATTTTTCATCCAGCTGGATGCAGGCCCTTACAGAGCTCAGCACCTGTCTGAGGGGGGGATATCATGTTAACCCCAAGAGCCTGGATGGGCCGGGCAGGGAAATGTTTGGCACGTTGCTTTGTGGGATCGGGGTGCTGAGCTGTGACCCTCTGAAAGATGATCCATCCTGAGGGTGAGCAGAGAGCAGCCACTGGGTGAACTGGGGTCTGGAAGCTGGTGGGGGGAAAGAAGGATTTAAAGCCCTAAAAGTCCTGCTGGATCGCCCGTGTGTGATTCCATCGGGTGTCTCTGCTTGTCTTAAGCACAGGCTCGGGGCTGATGGAAATAATCCCCGTCCCTGCAGGAAGAACTGGCTGGGTTTGTTGTTCCAAGCTGGAGTTTCGCTGCCCGCCTCAAGTTTTCTTAAAATCTGGCTTTGCAGATGGAAGCTGACAAGGAATGTTCCTGTGAGTTCCTCCCGGAGCCGGCGGGAAGCCCAGCCCCACTCCCAGCTGTCACGTGTGGAGTGGCTCCCTGAGACCCCCAAATCCTCCTCAGGGTGGTGGGGATGACCCTGGGTGGGTCCTGGGTGCCCCCCTAGAGCTGCTCTCACTGCCCTCCTCAGCTGGGCAGGGAGAGAAAATCCAAGGAAAGGCTCGTGGGTCGGGATAAGGGCGGGCAGGGGTCACTCACCGGTTACTGTCATGGGCAACTCGATTTGGGGAAATCAGTTTAATTGGTCAATCAAATCAGAGCAGGGTAATGGGAAACAAACCCAAATCTTAAATCACCTTCCCCCCAGCCCTTCCCTTCTTCCCAGACTCCTGAATTCTCTCCCACAGGGAATGGAGGCTACAATCATACATTGTCTCTGCTCCTTCGTCCGCAGGGGTTGGACTCCTCACGCTCTTCCCCTGCTCCAGTTTGGGGTCCCTCCCACGGGAGACAGTTTTCCATTAACTTCTCCCATGTGAGTCCTTCCCAGGGGCTGCAGTTCTCCATGAACAGGATCCCTTCTTCCAAGGGGTCGGTTCCTTTAGGAACAGGCTGCAGGATCGCAAGTCCTGCCAGGGAATCTCGTCTCCAGCCCCTGGAGCACCTCCTGCCCCTCCTCCTGCACTGCCCTGGGGGACTGCAGGGTTTCCCTCACTCCTCTCTCCCCCTCGTTTTTCCATACCGGTTTTCCCCTCTTCCTCCTTCCACGTTTTATCCCAGAGGTTTTCCCACCATCAGCCTTGTCCAGCGTCCTCGAGCAGCTGGAATTGGCTCCGTGGAGGTGGGAGAAGCTTCCAGCGCCTTCCCACAGGGCCACCCCTGCCACCAAAAATCTCCCGGTTTCTGGATGAGCTCACACGATGTCTGGGATGGGGGCGGGGGTGGGGGGAATGTTCCCCCTCCAGAAAAAATGGGAAGGAACTTCGTTGTTGACTGAACAGTCGTTGCTCCGGGGAAACAACAACCCCCCTCTCCTTCCCCCAATCCAGGGAAACGCGAGTTGTCAGTCGAAATGGATCTGGTTGGGTTGATATCAGCCAAAGAATTGATATTCTTTCTGGTATTTAACCAAAAAAGTGATAGTCTTATGTCACTCCAAATGTGGTTTTAGATAAACAGATTCTCTCCCCTCTGTTGTTACAAAACATTTCGAGTGTCAACATTTAGGGACTGTATCAATTATCTGGCTCGAGCTGCGAGGGGAGGGGGGTGTGGGGGGGTTTTCCCTTGCGAGAGGGATTTGGGTTATCATCCATATTCATGGGAGAGGTTTGGCCGCCTCGGGAAGGACGGGATGGAACCTTCAGAGAAGGGAGAGTTGCCTCGGAAAGCTTTTGTGGCTGCAAAATGAGTCCATTTGTCCTTTTTTTTTTTTTTTTTTTCTTTTTTTTTTTCTTTTTCAGAGCGTTCGGGCTCCGAGCGGAGAGGTAAAGAAAACAAAAACCTGAGCGACGGGGGGAGTTTTTGGGGATGAGGATTGACCTCGGAGCTTCACAGGGATAAGGAGGGAGCAGGAAAATGTCGCTGTGGGGTCAGGAGGAGGTTTGAGCTGCAGCCACTTTTAATTAAAACAAAGCAAATGATTAACTCGCAGGACACGGCGGGAGGACGGCAGCGGGTTCGCTCCAGGGGGCAGGATGTGCCCCTGGAATGGATCTTTGCTCCTCATCTCCCCGTTCCTGAGGATGGCTGGGTTTTCCAGCGCGGAAGGGAGAGGGTAGGAGGAGGGGGTGACGCTGGAACAACTTGATTTTAACGATATCTCTAAGGAAAAACGAACAAGAAATTATAAAATACCATTTCCCCCCACTGTTTTCTGCCCCACTTTTCGAGCTCTGGACACAACCAGAGGCAGGCTCGGCTCCAAAGCTCCTTTTCTGTCCCTTTTCCACCTGGAGCTGCCGGAGATTTCCCGCTCAGTGAAGAGGGGATCAGTGGTGAATCAGCCTAAAACCAGAAATGGGGTTTGCAGGTGGAAAGAAAACAGGAAAAAAATGGGATGTTCGTGTTTTTCCCTGCGCAGCAAAAATAAGGGTTTTATTTTCCAGGTATATTTTTTAATTCCTCCTTAGAAGGAAAACCTGTTTATGACCTGCGTTTATTGCCTTTATTACCTTCACTTTAATCTGTTGCCTTCACTTCTGTTGCACCAAACCTTCCTCTTATTCCCCGTCTCCTTTCCCGGCTTCCTCCACATCCCCTGTCTATTTGCTGTCCCTTTGCTCTTCCTCGGAGGATTGATCCTAATCCTCCAAACAATTTCGCCGGCATTCGAAGGTCCAGACACTTCTTATTCCACTAATCTAGGGAAGAGGATTCTGGAGACGGCTCCGTGTGCCCCCCCTGGTGCCCCCAGCCCTGCACGACCTTGGGTTTATCTCCCCAGATCGTTACGATTTCCAGGTTCTTTATTTTTTAATCAGGTATTTGTTATAGAGGTCAGTAGCAGTTGCTGGGCTCCCGTTGCAGTGAGAGTAAGTGTTTCCACGAGGAAAAGGAATCAGAGAATTGTTTGGGTTGGGAAAGACCTCCAAGATCATCGAGTCTGAGCGTTACCCAGCGCTGCCGAGGCCAGCACTGACCCCTGTCCCCAAGTGCCACATCCACAGGGATTTTAAAGCCCTCCAGGGATGGTGATCCCACCACTACCCTGGGCAGCTGTGCCAGGGCTGGACAACCCTATCCATGAAGAATTTATCCCTGACGTCCAACTTAAACCTCCCCTGGCACAACTTGACGCCGTTTCCTCTCATCTTTTTTAGGGAGCAGAGTCCGACCTCGCCTGGCTCCCCCCTCCTGTCAGGGAGTTGCAGAGCCAGAAGGTCCCCCCTGAGCCTCCTTTTCTCCAGGCTGAGCCCCCCCAGCTCCCTCAGCCCCTCCTGCTGCTCCAGCCCCTTCCCAGCTCCGTTCCCTTCCCTGCACACGCTCCAGCCCCTCCGTGTCTCTCTTGCCCACGGGGGCTGTGAAAATTTAACGGAATTCGCGGTCATTTATCAGAAGCTTTTGAAAACGCGGGGGGATTTCTCAGATGTTGTTCACCTTTCCCCCTTTTCGTGCCTCATTATTTACTCAGACGATTCCACGTACGAGGCAAAAACATCTCCTCGTTCTCCCCATCCCCACCCACGGGACTACATTTCCCGTGCTGCCCCGCGGCCGGCGCTCCCTCTCCTATTGGCTGGTGGCCACGGGGCGGCCCCGCCTCCCCGGGACTACATCTCCCGGCGTGCCCCGCGGCAGCTGCGGTTGGCCGCGGCCAATGAGCGCGGCGGCGCCGCAGGGGGCGTGGCCGGGCGGCGGGGGAGGCTGTTTAAAGTGGCGCCTGCGGGATGGCGGAGCCGGCTGACTATCCCCCGTTCCAGCTGGGGAAGCCCCGCTTCGAGCAGGTACCGTGCGGGCGGCGGGAGGCGGCTGTGGGGACACACTGCGGGGGGAAGGGGGACTGTCCCTGCCCTGCGTGCGGCGCGTCCCTCTATGCCCCCCACCAGCCCCGGGCGGGGAGACCCCCCGCTGCCCGCTCTGCTTAGCCCCGCCCTACCCACGGGACGGCGCGCTGATTGGCGCGCAGCCCGCGTAGTCCTCGCGCGATTGGCCGGCGCGGCTGTCACTCAGGGCCGCCGCCCCCTACCCCGCGGCGGGTCCCGCGGCGGGCGCTGATTGGCGCGTCCCGCCGGGCCCCCGTGGCGCGGGGCGCAGGGCGGCGGGCGCGGGAGCCGGGGGTTGCGAGTTCGAGCCCCGCGGGCGCCTTCCTGGGGCGGCGGGGATGGGTGGAGGGTCCCGGTGGGAATGTTGTTGCCCCCCTACCCCCCCGTGGGATGGTGCGAGGGCTGGATTATGCCCTGCGAGAGCCCAAGGGTGCCGGGAGGTGAAGAGCCCTGGAGCCAGGGATGCTCCAGACGGGCTCTTCATCATCCTCACCGTGGGCTTGTCCCGTTTTGGGGGTGGCTCGGGGTGGGCAGGTTCTTCTGGACTGGGGACTGTGTGTCGTGGTGGCAACCAAGAACAAGCTGGTGGAGTATCCCTGTGCTCCATAGAGTGACTCCTGGGGGATGGATGGGCAGGGGAACCCCTTCCCCACCATCCACAGCTGGTCTGGAGGTCCCTGGTGTGGCTGACAGAGATCCTGCGGCCAGGTTGGGGCTGATAAAACCTGACATGGGTTTTATCATTAAACCTCCTTCAGCCACCCTGTCCAGGGTGGCTGAAGGAGGTTTAATGATAAAACCCATGTCAGAGTTGGAGAGGACTGGCTGTGTCCCACCAGCAGGACAATCTCCAAGGAGACCCTTCCCACTATCCACAGGAATCCAGGACTGCTGTTTACCAACCAGCTGCCTCAGCCTGGCTGGACCCAACCATCCCTTTGGGTCGCTGAGAAATCCAGTGGCAGCTTTCCCATGGGAGCCAGGTCTTGAGGGGGGAGCTTCCTTATGGGGCTTGGAGCAACCTGGGCTAGTGGAAGATGTACCTGCCCATGGCAAGGGGTTGGACTTAGATGATCCTTGAGGTCGCTTCCCACCCAAACCTGGCAGGAATTCCATGACCTCCCTGATCCAGGAGGTTGCATCCTCAGAGTGGATGAAGGAAGGGGGTGGCTTCCCCCGCCTTGCAGGAGCCAAGGGATGCTCAGGCTGTGGAGAGATGGAGCTTTTTAATAAGGAGAGGAGGAGGAGGAGGAGGAGGAGGAGGAGGAGACGCTACTCCCTTCTAGACACCACAGATGATTCCAGGCACACTTGGCAGCGAGTCAGGCACAGAATCGGTGCGTTCTGTTCATTAAGGAGCGACTGTCACTTGTAGCAGCATTTAGAAAATGTTTCGAGGGCTGTGGCAGGATGTTAATGGCTCTGTGTGTGCGCTCAGTGGAGCGGGAATGTCCTCTCCTCCCTGGCAATGGGCGGCTCTGGGGTGAGGGTTGCCCCGGGGGGTGAAAGTGCCCTTGGCACTGGGTGCTTTGGGGGTGCTTTTCCAGCATTGGGAATCACTCCCCCTTCTCTTCTGTGGTGCTTTTATCCCTTTCCCATGGAATTTCCAGCAGAGGAGTGCTGGTGGGAGCTGCAGGATGGGTCGGTGGTGCAGCTCTTGCCCTGTGCTCCCCTTTTTTTTCCTCCTGCTCCGTCTGCCCACGGGTGATGGACAAACTGGACAGCCCAGTTTGGGATCTGACAGAGTTGTGAGGTCACAGGGCAAGAGAGGCTTGGATTTTTCCAGGGTTTTATGGCTCCTGGTTGGATCCTGTGGTGGGCTCTGCTCCAGATGGGACGCAGCATCCTGTGCCATCAGCGCCAGGACCACGGGCCCGCTCCCATCCCAGCCTAGCAGAGCCCATCTGATCCTTCATCTCTGGATCAGACTCTTACAGTTATTTATTCCCCCCATCATGACCTTTGTCTTCCCTTCCAAGCACAGTCTCCAGTGCTGGAGAGGAACCTCCATCCCCATTCCCAAGGGATCACCGGGCCCTAAACCCCACCATCCTTTCCCATCAGTGATTCCCCCCGTGCCTCTCTGCCTTTTCCCTTTTTTTTCAGTGGCTCTCCCAGGTTTTTATCTGTTTGTACGATCTCGGCTCGAGCTGCCAAAGGATGCCCGGGTTGTTTTGGAAAGGATTAGTGACGCTTGGGGTGGTTGTTTAAATTCTGGACGACAACACTTCTTTCTTTCCCCTGGGCAGCGCTGGCTGGAGCAGCTCCGGGGCTGCTTGAAGGGAGGTTGGGTTGAAGCTGGGGCTGGGAGAGATGCAAGGGGGGGAGAAAACAAGGAAAAGTTCTGTGTCAGGAACACAGAAAACCCTTGGAGAGCAGGCTGGGCTGCCTGGGGATTTGGTTCAGAGCAGACACGGGGCTTTCCTTGCCCCGCCGTGACCTGGCGCTCCCGGGGAGCGGCTGAGCCGAATTTAGGGCAGCGGGCGGGACACGTCCCTGCCTGGCACCACCTCTGCAGGTTACCAAATCCCCCTCTTTTCCCCCCTGGCTTTGCACTTCATTTGTTTTCCCTCATCTCCAGGCAAAGAGATGTTCTGTCGAGTCACCTTTTTTTTTTTTTTTGTTATTTTTTTCTCGGTTTCTTTGCCGGAAAGAGGCTCCGAATCCCGATGGGAACAGAGCTATTTTTAGGAGAAGGAAGAAACGAGGACGTTAGGCTTGAGAATGTGTGATAAGGACTTAATTTCCTGACAAGTAGGTCTAATTGGTTAGAAATACTCCTGTTTTGTTGGGTTTTTTTTTGCTTTATTTCCTTATTTTATTCTGGTTTTTTTTTTAAGGATTTGCTAAATGCTTCCTCTCCTAAATCCTAATGCGTGTTCCCAGTGCTCTGGGGGCTCTGCCTGTAGCCCAGGAATTTCTCCTGGGTAAAATCAGGTGGAATATGTCCCTGCCCATGGAGTAAGGTGGTCTTTAAGGTCCCTTGCCTCTAAAAAGCAGCACGAGGTCATCTCAGCTGGTGCAGGAGAACAGCAAGAACAGGGGAAAAGGAACAAGGAGGGAGCTGATTTCCTTCCCAGCTGGAGTCAAGCAGGGGCATCTCAACGTGCAGAACTAGGAAATAATAATAATAATAATAATAAAGAGGTCACAAGACTTGGATCCTTCAGGAGGAGGAAATACAGGAGAATAAACCCAGTCCAGAACTGTGGCTTTCTCTCAATGACCTCGTGTTAAGAAGCCTGTTTTAAAATTCCCTAATAAAACTCGAGGAAGGAAATCGCTTCGGCTTCACAGGTTGGACTTGATGATCTGAAAGGCCTTTCAAACCTCAGTGATTATGATCCTAAACATCTTTTATCCCTTGGGCAGCTCAGGGTGTATGTGCAGTCACGGGGCTGTGGGATGTGCTCGGGATGTTTTATTCCCTCACCCAAACGTGGCGATTCCAGGACATCCATATTTAACAGCATCCTTAGGGATGTGCTGATGTCAGAGCTTGGCCCTGCAGTGTTTTAAATATTGGAACTCAGAGATGTTTTCTGTGAGGAGATCAGGGCTAAAAATCACCATTTCCTGCTCTTGAATTGGGTAAGTTTAAAGCCCAGCCAGGGTTTGTTACATCATTAACCCCAACCATGTGCTTCCAACGCCCTCCTGAGATCCCACCTGGAGTTCTGCATCCAGCTCTGGGGTCCCCAGCACAGGAAGGATGTGGAGCTGTTGGAGTGAGCCCAGGGGAGGCTCCAAGATGATCAGAGGGCTGGAGCAGCTCTGCTGGGAGGAAAGGTGAGAGAATGGGATTGTTCAACCTGGAGTGATCTGATTGTGGCCTTCCAGGACCTGAAGGAGTGACAAGAACGATGGAGAGAGATTATTTACAAGGGCCTGGAGGGACAGGACACAGGGAATGGCTTCCCACTGCCAGAGGGCAGGGTTAGATGGGATACTGGGAAGGAATTGCTGGCTGTGAGGGTGGGGGACCCTGGCACAGGTTGGGCAGAGAAGCTGTGGCTGCCCCTGGATCCCTGGAAGTGTCCAAGGCTGGAGGGGTCTTGGAGCTTTTCCAGCCCTGTTTATCCCATGCAATCCATGGGGTCCATGCTTAAGAAAAGGAATTTCGGGGAAGAAAAGGAAACACAGACCTTTGGGTCAGATGTTTATCCATTGATGTCACGGAACCTGCCAAAATCCCCCATGCATTGGCTTTTTTCAGCCAGGGCTGGATTTTAAACGGGGAGTTTGTTTGGTTGTGTCTTTTCCTGCAAGTTATAAACCCCTACAACTGCATGTTAAAGGCTCCTGTGCCACGTCCTGGCTGTGCTGAGCAGAGCACAAGCAGAGCTGTCACTGAGGTGCAGGAGCTCCTCCCATGTGGATCTTGGCTCTTGAGCATTGGGAAGTCAAATTAAGGGCAAGAAAGGACTGAAAAATCCATAGTTTGAGCCTAAACTTGCAGGGGGCTGGACCACAAGTGTGTGTGAAATTACACAAACCAGGCCTTGTCATGGTCCACTTGCTCAATGGTTTGAATTGTCCTAATTTTGTTTGGTTTAGCTTAAATCTCTTCCTAATTAATTTAAAGCTGCCATAAGCCTGGTTTTTAGCTCGCCCCCCGCCCCCAGGTCTGCCTGCCTTTTGCTCTGGCTTAATTAAATCCCTTTTAAAATCAGGTTGTAATTAAACTGCAGTCCTCTGTGTCTCCTGTTCTTCCCAGCACAGGCCTCTTGGAGTCCTTTCCCATTTGAAGGTGATAAACACCTTGGTAATGGCCACTTACCTTCTCCCACTGCTCTTCTTCAAATTCCTTGAGCCCACAAGGAGGATTTTCCATCTTATTTTTTATCTTGGAGTCGGCTGGACCTTCATGGCTGAGCTGGATCCATAACACTCCTGAGCTGCTGTGCCCTGGGAATTAATATTCCCAAACCACTTCATCTTGATGCAGGCTGGTGAGAAGTGGTCCCAAAATAGCCACGATTAATCACAGGAAATTTGTGATATTCAGGTTTTTTTTCTCCCAGGGAACTGTTTACTACAGCAGATGTTACAGGGATAAAGTGGCCACAAAGACCGTGGGTGGAGGTTTGGGAGCTGAAGGTCAAAGTTCTGGGAATCTCACAAGCTCCAGCCCTGGCTGGAGTGTGACAGCAGAGCTGGGAATGAGCCTGTTGAAAGGGAGCCATCCAGAATTCTCTTGGGAATGAGGGGTTGGTTGTTGTAGGGCACTGAACAGTGTCTGGCTGTCCCTGTGTCCCAGGGCTTGATCCTCGTCCTGTTCACTTGGTATTTCATGGAATCACAGAATCCTACAATGGTTTGGGTTGGAAGGGACCTTAAAGACCACCCAGTTCCACCCCTGCCCTGGGCAGGGACACCTTCCACTAGCCCAGGTTGCTCCAACCTGCCTTGGGCACTTCCAGGGATCCAGGGGCAGCCACAGCTTCTCTGCCCAACCTGGGCCAGGGACTCCCCACCCTCACAGGGAGGAATTTCCCCTAAATTTCTGAACTACTGAGGGTTTGATGTTTGTTTGTTTGTTTGTTTTTTTCCTTTTGTTTTGCATGCAGCTCTGTGAAAACAAACCTCAGATTAAAAACTCTGGTGGCTTCTAGTCAGGAGAATAAACCCGGGAAGCAGGAAAGGATCTGGAGGGTGGAAAGGCAACCAACAAGGCCTAGCAGTGAAGCAGCTTTCCATAGTCATCCAAAAAGGAAAATTCAGAGCCCCATGGCTGGAGAGCAGGGAAAAAAATGGATATTTTTCGTTCAGGGGTTGTACAGTCATGGTAAAGACACTGCAGGAGGGCTGAGCAGTGGAATATGGGGCGGTGGTGGTGAGGTGGAGCCTCAAGAAGACCATGTTTGAACTTGGTTCCTTTTGATGTGGTTCTCAGAGGGCTTTTGTTGTGGAGAAAGGAGGTTCTTATTCATCAGAGCTTAACAAAACAAAGCAAAACTTGTTCAGGCTCATATTCCTTTTTTTTTTTTTTTTTTTTTTGTGTTCTTTTTAAAATCTTGGCCTGGTGGGAGTGGAGGAGGTTTCATTTCCTTGCTGGAAGGACCCTGGACTAGAGGCAGCCAAGGGAGGAGTTTTGTTGATGGCCTGTCTTCTATGCCATCCCAGGGTGTGATGAGGAACACTGAGCTGATCAAGATGCACTGAAGGATCAATCATTCCCATGGGAGTGCAGCTCCTCCTGTTTCTTGGGATCTGGGAAAGAGAGCAGGAAGATTTTGGCTTTAACCGAGGTGACCAAGTTGGAGCCCCAGGGTGACAATAACCCTTCTGCTGGAAAGGGTGGGGGTGGTTGAGCACCACAATCCCCTTCGTGGGAGACCTGGAAGGGGAGTTTTTCGTGTCAGGGCAGCTCCTAAAAGCAGGTTCATGCAGTTGTGTTTTAGAGAGCTCGTGGCACCACAGAAGGAAAGAGGAAACCACAGCGCCAAGTTGGGTCTTGTTGCCTGTTGTAGGGGAGGGAGGATGGGCTGGATCTCCTCACCTGCTTCCTGTGTATTCCTGAAGGTCAGAGATCACACAGTCATGGAATGGGTTGTGTTGGAAGGAAGCTTAAAGACCATCCACTCCCACCCCCTGCCATGGGCAGGGACACCTCCCACCAGCCCAGGTTGCTCCAGCCTGGCCTTGGACACTTCCAGGGATCCAGGGGCAGCCACAGCTTCTCTGCCCAACCTGTGCCAGGGCCTCCCCACCCTCACAGGGGAGAATTTCTTCCTAAAATCCCATCTAAATCTATCCTATTTCACCTTAAAGCCTTCCCTCCTTGACCTGTTGCCCTGTCACAGCTTGCCCTTGCTGAAAAGATGCTCTTCAGAACTGGCTTCCTCCTTGTGTTCCAGCCTAGGGAAGGAGCTCTTGTGCATTCCCATTATCCCTTCTTTGAAGTAACTACAGCAAGAGGGTGATTCCTTTATTTTTTAAAAAGCAGGGATGGAAGGAGCAGGCATTGGAATAGCCCTGTCTGCTCCCAGCTGAGCAGAGAAGCTGTGGCTGCCCCTGGATCCCTGGAAGTGTCCAAGGCCAGGTTGGAGCAACCTGGGCTAGTGGAAGGTGTCCCTGCCCATGGCAGGGGTGGAATGAGATGGTCTTGAAGGTTCCTTCCAACCCAAAGCACTCTGTGATTCCATGATTTTGGGCACTCAGCTCCTGGATCAGGCAGCTGAAGCATCAGGTCAGCACCAGCACTGGGCAGGAGAGGAGCAGGGAGTGTGGGAATGGGATTTACATCAGGATGGGTTTGAGCTGCTCAGACCTGTCCTTAGCTGGGTGTTGCTGAGCTTGACCAGGCAGGATCAGGGCAGGAGCCCAGGGCTGGAGCTGAACCAACCAAACCACACCCCTGGGATACAGGATCAGCTCCCCGAGGGCCTCGACAGCTTGGGAACTGAAAATCTGCACTTCAAAAAATAACACTTATATCCTGCACATTCGGACTCATGATCCCCTTCCCTCTTCCTTGACATTTACACCTTGGTTGAGTGGGTGTAAAATATCGATGCTCTGTTTAATTCTATTTAATGTCGTTTTCCCTCCCTGTGAAATGAATACCACGGAGGGAAAAGCAGCGGAGAAGTCGAGACCGCTTAAATTTAAACACCCCCATCACCACCACCAGCCCTCTTGTTCTGTTCTTGGTTAAACCACGTAATCCCAACTGCCCTGGATTCTCCAGTGTCTGCTTGGCATTGAGCAGGTGCTGAGGGATGGGCAGTGGGAGAGGGCTGATGGGGTGTGGGAGCTGAGGATCGGGGAGAGCGGCAGGAGGGGCCCGGTGAGTCAGGAATTACTCACATCCCTCCCTGCACCACCGGGCAGCAGCGATGGGAAGGCTGGGAAGGGCAGTGGCATCTGCAGGGGAGCTTCACCCTCAAAATAAAGAAGCGGGGCAGCAAAACGTCAAGCTCGGGAATGCCAGAAAGTACCGGAATTAGTGTTAATTAAATCCACGCTAATTAAAAACCGCTGTGCTTTTTTTCCTCCCTTCCCCCCCCTTACCCCCCAAAGTTGCGTGCAGCGATTTGGATTTATTGTGGGGTTTTCTCTTTTTTTTTTTTTTGAGTGCAGAACAAGAGAGAGAGAGAGTTTTGTGAGCAGGGGTGTGGCGAGGTGTTGGTGAGGACGGGGTTTGCAGCTCGGGGTGCTCTGGAAACGGCCCTCGGAGAGGGATTTCTGCCGGAACCAGGAGGCAGAACGCCTGGTATTTCTCTGTGCTTGATGGCTGGAGCAGAGGAGAAGCAGCACGTTTCGGAGAGCGCTGCCAGGCAGTGATTAAATGCTGTTCTCGGTGCTGTATCCACGCTCCAGGCCTTTATTTATAGCACATCCCTGCCTTGAAAAAGCGGCAGGAGAGCTGCCGGCATGTGGCTGGAGAACGGCCGGACAGGGGGGTCCTGGGGTTTGAGGGGATGTGGAAATCCCTGATTTCCATGGCCATGGTCCTTTCCACATCCATGATGTGCTGGGAATTTTGCTGGGGAGAAGGCACAGGACAGAGGAGAGTGTCCTGTGTCCACTTGGCCGTGCCGGTGTCCGGATGGGGGCCTGGCACTCACCTGCATCCAGGTCAAAGAATCCAGACTGATGCTGGAGTGATGATGTAAATGTATCCTGAGTGCTCTTCATAAATCAACATTTCATGGTCTGGTGCTTTGGGTTCGCATAAATTCCATTTTTATCTTCTAAATCGTGAGCCTCCTTCTCTCCTCTCCTTTGGAGCTGCCCGTGATCTTCCCACCCAGTTTCACAGATCTCTCCCCCTTCTTTCAGACTCTCTTCCTGGTTCTGGGAGTGTTGAAGGCGAGGCTGGACAGAGCCCTGAGCAACCTGGTCCAGTTGGGCCTGTTCTTAGAGGCACATTTGGGGAAATCCAAGCTGGCTGTGTTTGGGTAGGGATAACGCTGGGGGAAGATGCTCTTGTTGGGAGCAGCAAGTGTTTGAAGGAGCAGAAAGGGATGCAGAGAATCCTGAAATGCTTTGTGTTGGAAGGGACTTTGAAGATTATCCATGGGCAGGGACACCTTCCACTATCCCAGCTTGCTCCAGGCCCTGTCCAACAGGATGTTGGACACTTCCAGGGATGGGGAATCCACAACCTCTCACTTCATGGTAGTCTATCCCCAAAATCCATGACTCCGTGGTGCTGCTGGTCCTGTGAGGTGGATGTTGTCAGGAAGGAGGATGAGCAGCACAGGGACTGTGTTAAAGACATTGCAGGATGGGAATTCCCTCGGGAATGTTGCTCAGTGTGGGAGGTCTGGAGCTTCGTGTTGGATTTTTGTGGCTTCGGCATTTCCCGGGATTCCCACAGGCAATATTTCATTTTTTGGGAGAAAAAGTAAAGGATGTTTTAGCAGCTTGGTGTTATCCCTTTATTAAAGCATCTGGATTGGTGTCCCATTATCAGGGTTCAAGTCCTCACCTTTTCCTTCCAGACCTCCTATCGAAAAATTCCCTTTAAATACATTCTATATTAATTATTTTTACTTGCTACTTAATTCTGCAAAGGAAATAAACCCTTTCTCTGCAGCAGGTGAAAGGCAATTTCTCCCTGACCATGTTCTGTTTCCTTTTCCTGTTTTTTCCAGACTTCATTTTATGGCAGATTCAGGCACTTCCTGGACATCATCGACCCCCGCACTCTCTTTGTGACTGAGGTAAAATGTACACACCTTGGCTTTGGGGAAAGCACTGGTCATTAGGCAGCCTTAGATTAAAAACCATCTCTTCTGTGAACAGCACAAGCAATGAACCCCAGGTTTCCAGTGGATTTGTGTCTCGCAGTTGATTGATTGCCCAGCTGTCAAACCCAAACTGAAACTCACTTTGTGTTATCCCTCAGTGAATCCACACCTCCCATCTCCCTCGAGTAACTGGTGAACCCCTCACCTGGTTTCAGGCAAACTTGCCACTCATTTAACCTTCCCAGAAGGAAAATTCCTCCAGCTCTTCATGGAAAAAAAAATGCAGGGGGTGGGAGAGGAGAGAGTAAATATTAATTCCATGGAAGGACATGAGCTGGGTGGGTTTGTGAAAGCTTTCCAGTGGCTGCACTTTAAAAAACCTTTTCTATAGTTTTTCCTCAGTTATTAAACTGTTTGTAGCAGGATTTTGGATTTCTGGTCCTTTATTTCCATTTAATGTTGTCCAGAATTATTTCAGTTCTTTGCTTTCATGAAATACTGACTGAGAATGAATGGGGAACACACAGAAGGAATATTTCTGCTTGTGATTCTGCCTGTTGGCCAGAAAACTTGGGATTTTTCTTTCAGTGAGGGCCAGCTGCTTTTTCCTTTTTCCTTTTTCCCTTTTTCTTTCTTTTTGTTTTGAGGTGGGGCAGTTTTAAGGTGAAAATATATTTCCCTGGGGCAAATCTCAAGCCCCAGGGAGCTGAACTGCTCAGCTGAGCTGCCAGTGGGGAACTGCACTGTGTTGGCAGGGGGGGTGGAAAGGCCCAATGCAACTTTAAATAATCTTTTTAATTCTAAATCAGCATTTTTTTTCCCCAAAAACCTAAGGATAAGGTGTATCACGATGGTAATTTGGAGTACTTTGTTTGTGCAGCCAGGAGAGCAGCTGAAAGTAAAGCAGCTGTTCTCCCACCATCAAACTGAAGATTCAGATCAAGTCTGAGATGAGTTTTCCCAAGCCTCCAACCTCCACGTGGAGCTCAGCTCCGGGAGGTGACCTGACAGCTGCAGGACATCACCCTGCCAAGGAGGAATCACAGGATCACCTGAGGATGCAGAGCACTTTGCAGATTTTAGAGATTTTTGTGGTTTGAAGAGGATGTGAGCACTTTTCCAGAATAAAACCAATCCTGCTCATGAAAAGGCTTGGAGCTGCTCTTACTTTAGGGGAGGTTTAGTGTTCAAGAGGAGTGGGAGATGTTCAAACCCAGATTGGACAGGGCTTGGAGCAGCCTGGGCTAGTGGAAGGTGTCCCTGCCCATGGCAAGGGGTGGGACTGGATGGTCCTTAAGGTCCCTTCCAACCCAACCCATTCCATGATTCTGTGTTCAGTGCAGGGCAGTGAGAGTTGAAGGAGCATTTTTGGCAGCGTGGGGAATCCTCCAGCCTGTGCTGGTGGTGAAACCCCCTCTCTGACCAGGTGAATTGGCACTGGAAAGCTTTGCAGAGCTGATATTTGCTGTGTGTTCTCCTGGGAGGTGTTCCCACAAGCCTGTGTTTCCCTGGGATGTTGGAGGAGGAAGCTGGACCAGGTGGTCCCAGGTCAGGGTCACCTGGACAGAGGTTCTGGTAGGACAGAAACAGGTGATTTTGCCCATCTTTTTGGTGGGTTTTGTTATGTCTCAGCTTGTTTTCTTTACCTCTTTCTTTGGAGGAGAATCCTTTTGGGTGGAGATCATCCATCCAGTTCTGCTTAGTTCAAATTTCTCTTAATTTAATTTCCATATTCTAACAGTAGTCCTCACCTTTCTCCCATCTCCTTTAATACGTTGTGTGTAAGTGTATAGTTTAATCTATTTATTTTATTTTTAATGTATTGAATTTTTAATTTATATATTTTAATCTGGGGAACTCACTGTGCACAGTGCAGGACCAAACTCTGGCTTTTACACAATACAGGGAGGAGGCAAAATTCCCAAACCTGCTTCCTGTGTGTCCCTAAAGTTGGGGGGGGATCTGGGTGAACTCGATGGAGTTTTGGTGGTTCTGCTTTTTGCAGTTACAGAATGGAGTCATGGAATTGTTCAGGTTGGAAAAGGCCTCCAAGACCATGGAGTCCAGCTGTTTCCCCAGCACTGCCAGGTTTTTGGAGGAGCTTGGTAAGGTTGGGGGTGCAGAGTGATCAGCTGGTGGAACTTTATTTTTCCAGACATCTTTTGGGGAGATTCTTCTGAGAAGGTGAAACCCAAAGTGGGGGGAAAGAGCAAAGCCTGAGTGGCCCATTTTTATCCTGGAGACAGTGATCAAAATTAGGCAGTTTGGGGCCCCAAACTGAACCTGAGCAAACAAGGGAGGTCTGGTGTCCTTCTGTGGGGTCCTGTGAGGGCAGGTCTGAGCTTCAGGATCTTCAGGAGTGGCTTGGTGGCTTCCCAAGGGTGGAAATGCCCTCTGTCTTTTTTCTCTGGGAGTCTCAATTATATGATGGTGACACCTCAGAAGACCCTGTAGCACATTTCGTGCTGTCCACATGAGTTCTCATTCCAAAGAAGTCCCTTGGCAAAACAGACACTTGGGGTCACAAGAAGAGCTTCCTGGGGCATTAAATCTGCTTTTTTTTTGCCTGTCCTGGCTCTGCTCTGTGTGTCTGATCTCATGCTCTGGAATAAGTCGAGTGTCTATGGGCAGAACTCAAAGCTGTTTGGTTTCCTTTGGGAATTGAGGTGGCAAATGAAAATCTAGGAAGGGTTTGATGAGACACAGCCGAGCTCGGAGAGCTCCTTCCCACTGACAGATGGCTGCATCTTCCAGGCCCAGGGTTCTCAGGGAACAAATAAATTGCTGTTTGTCTTGGAGGAGCTCACTAGAAAATGGGGTGAAAAAAACCCAGATAAATGAATCTCTAAGGAGAGTGGAGGTTAATCCCATGGAAAATGTAATAATATTTTTATTTTTCTACATCCTTTTTTTTTTAATTGCTGGTGTTACATCCTGACATCCTGCTGGTGGCTGTGTTTTGGGGAAGGATGGAGCGATCCCTCTGAGTGGGGAATCGAGTGATACCGAGTGTAATTAGTCTCAGTGACACTCCTCTCTTACTCATTTATTTTTCAAGTGAGGCAGATTTTTTTTAAACACAATTAAAAATTTCTTTGTCTTTCAGGGGTGCTGAAGGAGTAATCCCTGGGGGGGATTATGTTGTACCTGTGCTTTTATCTTTAGTGGCTTCTGGTGGAATAATTATCTGTATCAAACTCACCTCCGGGTTTTTCTTGCTTTCTGAGAGCAGATGAGTTGAAACGAGGCCCGGACCTTGTGTCAATATTGCAGCCACCTCTAAAGAGGAGCTTTTCTCCTGGGCTAATTCACCTCATTACCGGCTCTCTAATGAAATCATTTTTTTTGGCAGCTGCAAATTTGCAAACTCTCCCAACAAGTGGGAAATGTGCCATTTCAGAGGCCAACAGGTCCTGTCGCCGAGGACCGCGAGAAGACCCCTCAGTGGGTGCAACGCCCGGTTTTGAAACCTGTGAGGTCAGAATGACTGGAATAATACTTTTAATTGCTCTGTAATTAAGGCCCACTGGCAGCAGCAGGTATTTTGATAAGGCAAAACTTATCCCATCTGCCATTAACCTGGACACACTGTTAACACTCCCTGGGAAGCTCTTCCCGGAGAAGGATCTGATAATAATTCCAGGCAGAAAAGTGAAATAAGAAGGAAGCTGAGCTGAGAAGGGGCTGTGTGTTATCTGCCTTTGCTTTCATCTCATTGTTCAGAGCCGAAGTCTGCAGAGCTCCGAGCATCTTGCATTCCCATATTTGGGTTTAAAATGGAAGCAGGATTAGATGTATGTTATTTATATGAACGATACCTTCTTACTCAGCAGATTGACTGTCTGTGTTTATTCAGTGTCACATCTGCTGGCTCCACTTGAACAAAAAGTTTCTGGCTCCTGTTGTCTGTCACTGTGGATCCAATACAATGGGGCCAGCTGGAGTCAAGTCTGCCGTATGTGTCATCCCTGGAGCAGCGAGACGATCCCGGGGATTGCGGAGCGGCTGATGGCACAGCACAGCTGGATTTCCATACCCCCCACGGAATTCGAGGCGCTGGTGGCCAGAAGACTCTTGGTTTGGGTCATGTGCCAGCTGGGCTGAGGATAAAACCGGTGAAACTCCCGCACTCAGCGGATCATCCGCCCCAAAACCCCAATCCAGGCAGAGCAGGATGCTGGGTTGTATCAAGCGTCCCAACGTGCCCCATCCCATCGGTGGATTTCCTCTTCAAACCCTCCAGTGCAGAACTTGCCTCTTTTTTTCTGTGTGGATTCTGTGGCAGGAATGTTGTCGTGCTCCTGGCATGACGGCTCTTATTATGGTCTGTATGTGCACATATGGGTTTCTGGAGGCAGCTCCGAGCCATGTGCAGGCCTCGGTTGGGATCCAAGAGGAGGCAAGGCACAGATCTTCCAGACAGAAACCGTGTGCCCTGGAGGGAGGGGGGCAAGGTGAAGAATCACTGCCAGAGCTCACATGTTGGTTGGAGGTGTCTGACTCGTGTGGGTGTGTGTGTGCAGGCATCTGTGGGGCACAACGTGGTTGTCCTCTGTCCTGCCACGGTGCTGGAGCGATGGCTCTGAGGGACTTGGGATGTCAACAGAGGATTCCTGGAGGTGGCCACCAGCTCAGTGTGATGGGGGGTAATTTCCTGCTGGCACCTCTGGTTTGGTTCTTCCTCTTCCTAAACAACAGCCTGGAAAAAAGGAGGCTTGGGGGGGATCTTCTTGCTTTCCACGACTCCCTGACAGGAGGGGGAGCTGGGAGGGTTTGATCTCCTAGAGAATAAGGAGCAGGAAAAGATGAAAATGGCCTCAAGCTGTGTCAGGGCAGGTTGAGATTGGATATTAGGGAAAAATTCTTGCCTAGAAAGGGTTGTCCAACCCTGGTACAGCTGCCCAGGGCAGTGGTGGTGTCACCATCCCTGGAGGGATTTAAAATCCCTGTGGATGTGGCACTTGGGGACAGGG